CCATGTCGATCTGGGCTGTACACAGAAAAGACAGATAGACAGACACAATAGACACACGTACAGACAGACAGACAAAAAGAATATAGAGCCTCGATTTGGAATATCTATAAAAATTCAGAGAGACACAAATGCAATCAGACTAAAGAAAAGAGCAAGCTTCAGGATCCTCACAAGCAACATGTTCGAAAACTCCCACGAGTATTTTCGATACCTTCTCATCAGGTGGAATACAGGCCAAAACGAAACTAAACAAGAACAAGGAATTTTATAGAGCAGAAATGTGATAGAAACAACACAAAAGAGTAGCTTCTTGTCATACTTCGAAGCACCTTCTATGGGCATCAAGTTGCGCACTTTTACCGTGCTGTTTCTGGCTATTCTTCTTTGCGCTGTTTCTATCACCTCTCAGCTGTATTTTCAGTCTGGCTGTAGAGCCACAGTTCACTCAGAAATTGAAGGTGGTATCGAACGATGAACATAAGTAAGGATAACACTTAGACATACATGTACATACCTGCGGAAAGAGCGCCTTGACATATTCCTCTGCTGCAGGAAAGGATGACAGCAGTTCCAAAGTGGCGCGATCTGGACAATACCCTGGCCTCACAACATCCTCCACAGCTCTGTATATCGTGCAAACGAGAGTCATGGCCAAAGTGATAGCTCCATCAGAGGGAACATGCGATGATGGTGACAACATCAGCAGCACCGAAAAATTAAGCAAAAACCGGCGAATAGTAGCCAATATGAGATAAACATATGCCTATATAAAATATGATGGATGATGTTTTATTGTTATATATGGTGAGTCTATAGTAATAATTATGCGAAGAGAAAAGGACCTATAAGATACGAGTTATGACTAACAGTCCACAAAGGTAACGAGATAACATACAGTCAGATAGTGCGACAAGGCACAACACTGACAAGGATATTGAGATATTCGACGACCTAACACCAAGCTCCAACACATCTACGAAGCGCAAACCAACAACCTTCCAACTTACTTGTATCTGACTGTATATTATCTCGTTGCCTTGGTGGACTGTTAGTCAGAACTCGTATCTTATAGGTCCTTTTCTCGGTACATCATTATTACTACAGCGCTATAGGCTCACCATCCGATTTTTATTTAGCACACCTGATGAGCCGTCACTAGCAATACGGCAAAACGTACGTCGTGTGAAACCACTTGTTATAGTACCAAACGTGTCCATCATCGTTACATCAACATGAAGTTTAGTAGGATATTGGCTTTCGGTTTGTGACAGTTCGTCTTCGCTTGGCTCCCCCTCTTCATGTATTTTACATACCTTTGAGCCTCCGGAGTTGGGTGGTCTGTTGCCTTGCGTCTTCAAGTTGTAGTTAGACTGGTTTGTCCAGTGGTCTTACTAGACTCGTCATCATCATCCTGTAACGTTCGACATACTTTATTGCCGAAGGACATAGCTCGTGCACATCTTCGTGGTGCATCCCTTCCCCTCTTCGGAACTTTCCGCACCTGAGATTTCCAAGTTGGAAGGTTGTTGGTTTGCGCTTCGTAGATGTGTTGGAGCTTGGTGTCAGGTCGTCGAATGTCTCAATATCCTTGTCAGTGTTGTGCCTGGTTGTCGCATTATCTGACTGTATTATATTTCGTTGTCTTGGTGGACTGTTAGTCATACCTCGTATCTATAGGTCCTTTTCTCTTTACATAATGAAGTTTAATATCAATAGTAGTATTCAATACATTGAGTTCTCCAGTGTTCCGATAAAGGAATCCCTGCATGCTTACAATCTCTGAAGTACTAATTACCAGCATAGTACACTACCTCTGTACACAAGTACTTTGCACAAACATTCCTTTACATTGTAGAGTGAAGTGCTAAAGCAGTGTCAGTCAGCCTCACACTGGGAGATTGTGAAGCGATAAACAAGTGTCAGCTCTACACTGGGAGCTTACCTGATCAAGAAGAACAGGCAATCACAAGGTGACAACTCGTACGAAGACCCGAGATATTGATTTACTGCTTCGCAGACCGCTGGATCCCGCTGCCAATAGCTGAAGTACATCTTCATGTACTTGCGATACTGCAATTGGGTAGGCAAGGGAGAAAGAGTGAAGAGCGGTGAAGGACTATCAGAGGAAACGATACACGTGGCATAGAAAGATGGCTAGGGATGCTATGTGGTGTGATGCGGTGTGCGGTGAGGAACACAAATGTGAGAGCATGTATGTTTGCATGGACACGTGATGCTTGCACACACAACTACATTGCATAACAGCATGTGGTCAGACGTTATACATGTACAGATGCCGATTGTTCACCTCTAATCTGCAAGATCAATACCTGAATCCATGCACATTTCCCACTCTAAGCTGCAAGATCAACACCTAAATCACGTACATTTCCTTCATACATCACATCACCACTGGGAGAACTGGAAACATGACGACCAGATTTCACAATATTTGAAGGACTCCGAACAAGAAACGACAAAATACATCAGAGCTAAATACTCAGTGGAATGAGACAAACAAGTCTGGAGCACTTCAAGTACTAGTGGCTGCGTTCGATTATACCCACGAATCGATTCGCGCTATTCACATCACCCCATGTGAATAGGGTGAATCGATTCCGAACCAATTACAGGGCTCATGACATGAAAATCGAACGACTTGAATGCATGCGAATGGATTCATGAATCGATTCAAGTGCGTAATCAAGTGCAAGTGCATAATCTTCCTTGCCGTGGTTGGCTAACACCCTCTCTCTTTGTATTGGCCGGTGTTCTCACTGTGCTATGAGATGCTGTAATAAATAAATAAATAATCGAACGCAGCCAGTAAAACGCTAGATACTCTTGCTAATACAGAAATATGCTTCAGCCCTTCTTATCCAAAACACTTCCATTATGATGCTAGATTTGGCCTATGGCAGGTGTGGACAGAGGCAACTAACATTTGTATCGGCAGCAATGGAATGCCACGAGTGACATGTTGCCTTGCATGCCTGCAGATCATCCAGACTCAGGTATCCGAAGATCTGCTTTAACACTGATCTTGGTAACTCTTTTATATGTCGACATTGCGACGCACAGACTGCAGCAACAAGAAACACACAGGTTCAGCAGAGGTAGTACTGTCGACTCTGCCGTGGACATTGAGTGCATACTGGCACCACTGCTGCTGTGTCTGCTGAAACAAAGCAGATACAGTGGCGGAAAGGTCTTTTTTCTTCAACTCAACACAATAAGCTGAATACATGAGGAATTTAATGGCAGTGTAGTACATGTACGGTTCGTGCTACTGAGGGGCATGTGCTCCTCCAACCTACCGATGTCAGTATCAAGAGGGACAGGAGACCTAGAATACACAAGAAGGCTCCGCGAAAGGAAAATTCACGGTAGCATTAATTTGTATACTTTCTGAGAGCACAAAAAATGTGTGCAAACATTTGCAGTGTCATTCACACGTTTGCCATGCAAAGCCAATCCAACGGGCTAGTGATCATGTACCTGTGCCATTGGAATGCAAAGTCTGATCTAGACTCACCAGCACCAGCACCAATACCAATACCAGCACCAACACCGGCACCTCAGCAACATCAGTAACACCAGGACCTCCAGCACCAATACCAGCACCAGTACTAGCACTACCAGCGTTGTCTTTGGATTTTTCTAATCATCTTTCCGATCGCGTTATCATGGATTTTCAATAAAGTTCTTTGTCACCAGCACCACCCGTAGCACCAGCAACAGGGGCTAGGGGTGACCTAGCAGCCTTAGCCATGGAAACAGCACCTAGTTATGCACGTCAAGTACTTACTGCCACCGGTGGCAGCTGAGGCATGAAGCGTAGAATCTCGAGAGCAGCGTCGCTTTGCTGGTGATCCGTCTTCTGTTTCTTCGTTCTTCACTAAAACAGGACAGATGGACATCATAGGCAGGTGCAGTTCAGTACTGTAATCTGTCGCTAAAGTAGTTCGCAACAAGTTCCAGACATTGTCCCTGTAACAACTTGATGAGTCAAGGAATAGATACTCAATGGGAGTAGATAGCATGGTATATATAGGGGGGGGGGGGGGAGCATAGGTGATAACTAACACAATGCAAGTGTAGATGATGTAAGTGTGGGGATAAGGTGTGAATGGAAGTGTGAGGGTAAGCACTAACTCAATGCTGGTGGAATATGTCACATCTCTCCTTTCCCTAATGATTAGGAGTGTACCTTGTTAAGAGTAGGCATACAGGCAAGGTCTAGTAAAAGATGAACTATGAAGGGAATATTATGAGAAGTCCAATAGGCTGATGCATGGAGGTCAAGCTGCGCATGCGTGTCCACGTATGTGGGCGTGGGTTCGAATCCCACTTCTGACACCATGTAACAACTTGATGAGTCAAGGAATAAATACTCAATGGGAGTAGATAGCATGGTATATATAGGGGGGAGAGCATAGGTGATAACTAACACAATGCAAGTGTAGATGATGTAAGTGTGGGGATAAGGTGTGAATGGAAGTGTGAGGGTAAGCACTAACTCAATGCTGGTGGAATATGTCACAGTCCCGTATCGCCAAAATGTTATCTTCGTAATAAGGCGTTCATTTCTGGTGGACTAGCCGAGTATATCTGCTGATTCTGAATCTGCAATAAACTTTGGGAGTTCCTGTATCCAGGTACCTGTTCCTTGTGATATTATTATTATTAATTAGCTCTCTGCGTTTGCATCAGGGTAATAGGGACGATTTCCACTACGGTACTGTGAGTGGTGTGCCGTGAGTACCCATGGTGATTTGCTCACGTGAGGGGCAGTTTTGGCGCGAGTGCATTCCGTGGCTCGTGCCGTACCACGCCGTGGCCTTTCCGGTGCCGAGGGCCTCTGAGGGGTAGAAATGGCATGCCGCGATATTCCGTGAGGTCGAATGCAGTGAGTAGTAGTGCGGCGCGCTGCCTTCATAACGTAACTTGCCTTCATCACGCTCTGAAAGCATGCATCCAAACTCTCAATTTCTCGCACGAGCCCATCCGTTTTTGCTCGATTCGTTCCAGTACCTACACAATCTCTGAATTCTGGCGCGTGAACTCCAGTTCCGTACGAAAGTTCATTTCAAACTGGAGGGAAAGTGCGGTGTTTGATTTTCCGCAGTGCGCGGACTGCAGCTGAATGATGTAATGAAGGCAGCGCGCCGCGCATCTGGCCCATAGAAAAGAGATCACAGTTGCATACTCTTTGTTTATGGACTCTTGCTACTACGGTAGTGCGATTTCTCGATTTCAACCCCCGGGTCAAGTGCAGTGTGTCACGTAAATGCTCCAGTCAATTTGCAGCGGTGTTCATGGTGGGTTGAAGCTCGACCCGGGTTGAACTCAAGACCTCAATCCGGGCTAAAAAGTAAAAACTCTCATGTAAACGCAGCCTGTTACCTTCCACAGGAGAGCCCCTCGATAGGCTTCCCCAGCTAGCTGTTGGTCAATCCTTGAACCAGGGAGTCGTAGGTTTGTACCACAGTACTCCCTGGTACAAACTTAGGTTCACTGGTTCATGGAGTGCATTCATTCAATATTGCGTGTGCATAATGTATTCCCAAACCAGACACAAGGAGACACAGAGTGAAAAACAGCGCATGTACTGACAAGTCTCAGCCTCCTGACAATCTGCTCTAAAAAGCACGGTCAAAGACGTGTACCTTTGGACGGTTTGCAAGGATCAGTTGAATCCATGCGATGATGCTCCTGAACGAGGCCCTGGCTTGTGAGGGTTGTTGGGCTGGCTCGGGCAGACACCTCAGAGAGAAACCGATACCGTCGAGCAGAAAGGTTTGCTGGTATTGATCACTCGTACAGTATCTGCAACTAGAACAGAACTACGAGTGGGAGTGGACGCGTTTGATTGGAACACGAGAGAGACGAGAAATGTTGCTATTCATTCATGGTAAAATTTAATTTTCTTTCTTTTCCGTTTATGTTTCTGCACGTGACAGAAAAAAAGCCTTGGCTTTGTTTGGGCTTGGCTGACCTAAGTCCTTGCGCTGCAGTTTCTTATCCCTACCCCAACTTCAGTATTATAGGCCCTCCCATATGGTCTAGTGGTTAGGATTTCTGGTTTTCACCCAGACGGCCCGGGTTCAATTCCCGGTGTGGGAAACCATAATTTTTTTTCTTCCTTTTCTGTTCAGCTAGATCAGCTCAGGACATCTCATCACCGTCTTTGCGTTTGTTTTTTGTTTTTGTTTTGTTTTGCTTTTTTAAAGTGCATGTTGTCCCTTTCCTTTTCACCTACATAGGCATAGGTTGAGACGCTGAGTAGATCTACGCATCCATTTTTTTTCATTTTCTCGATAGCAATACAGTTTGCCCTGCCGTGCTTTGGACCAGTAGAGAAGGAAATGAAAAGTTGCTCCTGACTTTGAACATCCCTGTATGAATCTAAAACTTTCAATGATGACCCATATCTGAGTGTTCAAGCTCAGGTAACTAAATTGCTTTACTTGGCGTTACATTGGTGGTGAAGACTTGAGCTTATATATGTAGAGCCAGTTACTAGCAAATCACTCAGCATGCCTCCGTTGACTAAAGGCAATAATGACCTGGTGGAATCAGCTGCATCAATGTAAGACTTTTGTTAGTTTTTTTTAAAAGTTGAATTAACTAATTTAGTTTTAGAGACAGGGGAAAGTTCAGAGGTCTGATGAATGTTCTAGTGTTCTAGTGTCACAACGAAGAGGACAAACTGTACAGTAACCATTCTTTATTGAAGATACATAATTACAACATAGTAACAAGCTTATGGTTGATAAATATGGTGGTAAAGACACACCTGGCAATATGGCGGTAAACACACGCCTGCCCACACACGCTCTCTAGGCTGCAAACTAGTAATTATACATCTTCAATACAGAATTGTCACCGCACAGTTTGTCCTCTTGGTTGCGATATTAAAGTTGCTATCTCCAAAGCGCTTGTTCTAGTGCCACCCAATATTTAATATGGTATGTCTGTATAATGCGCATCAGAGAGTTGTACGCTCTATGGAGCCCCGGGGACGACTGCAATGGGCAGCCCGATAACAAACCTCATTGATTCAGTGCAGGGAGTCGTATAAACCGGTGGGCGCGCTCCTGATTCCTGAGGAGCCCGCTTGACTCAGCTTGATAGCTGTACTATCTTGTTGTGTCATCTACGGGCTGGAACGTTCTATGAGGTCCATGGTCTGTGCGACGTGGAGTATTTTGAATTGCGATCAAGGCCACAATCTACGACCCCAAGCACGGCCCAGACCAGGAATGGTATACTCGGCACCTGTGAATCGGTCCTGCTCCAAGGGTGATGGCAATAGGCAACCCGGTAACAAGCCTCATTGCTTTAGATGACTCAGCTTGACATCTGTGCAATATTTGTTTGCCATTGATTACTTTTCAAGGCATGAATAAGAATGCATGATTTGACAGACCATAAGAAAACAACCAGTGAGTCAGCTATCTATGACTGTTTCTCTTTGTAGTTAGTACTGAAACTTCTTCTTAGTGGTAGGACCATCCTTTGGGACATACTGACTGAGTTGTACCAACAAGCGTTGATATGGTTGTGTTGCGTTCCCTTCCCCTTTCACTGTCAATGAAGGCTTCTTTCGTATCTATTTTCGGACCTTCCTCGCCGTATATCGACAGTTGATGAGACTCATATCTGTTGTGCCCTTGTTTTGAGGTCCACACATCCCCAAAAACTCGAAACCCAGGCACATTCTGAAGTTGCCGCGATTTCTACACAGGGGTAACACGGGGGAATCATGTGGCACACATCGCTGGTGCGTTTGCAGGCCATGCCCTCTCCTAGGTGTATATGACTCCCTGGTTCAGTTCTATCTGCCCATGTTGTTCTCATAGGTACTAAAACTCTCCGGTGTACAATGTATACTGCAAGACAGCTTGCAGGCTACGATCATTTACAGTATCATAACAGTCATAGCAGTTTTATACATGTACAGTCAACTTCGCTAATGACGACTGCGGATATAACGACAATTCGCGAATAAACAACAGAATGTCCATGCCCAGAGCAAAGTCCCATCCAACTGTAATACATAATATGAGACTTCGGGTATAACGACACTTCGCGAATAAGGATACTTTTCTGATGCCCCGCCGAGTGTCGTTATAAGCGAAGTTGACTGTATGATATTATCTTATCTGCTTGTTTGTTGTGTGTTTACTTGTCTATGCTCTCACAGGGACGGTGCACTGTTTTCAGGGCCAAAACCTATTATGGGCTGGAGGCTCTGTTTGGTGATGCTGGATGAATGCATCATGATGGCCTTCTGCGTGCTGACTATAATTGCTGCAGCGGAAAGGTACGCCTGATTTCCATCCACGGTGCTGGCCCGTGAAACTCGCCTCTGTGAACAAGATTAGATAGCGGCGGGCGCTGGGCGGCCCAGGCACTGTGAACGCTGTGTAGCGAGTGCACGTTAGCGCAACGCTACTTATTTTTCACGCGGCGAATGCACTGTAATGCAGCTTTGATATTTTTTGCACCAGGACTCCCCCAGGAGTGGGTCCCCGACCTGTAGTGCTCAGTCTAATCACTATCGGCGGAGGTGTCACCCTGCTGTGAAGGAAACCAGCTTAACATGTATGGATCCATACCACAACTGGGACCAAGTGGATCCAAGAGTCAGCATTATCATGGCTCCGACCTGGCTATGACATAGGACTTTCATGCCCGCTGACTGTTGATGGTGAATAAATTGTCTGCAAACTCGTCTCAGAAGTCGATGAGAAGATTTTACCCAAAGAAATTGCTGTGAACTTCTGCTCCTTCCATGCCATGTGTGGTTGCAAGGCTGTACCCACATGTATGTAGTGTCTAGATGGGGTTTGCAAGAGGCAAGCTATACTTGTAGCTACCGGAATGCCAGTGCCGCCGAACTCTAACGAATCCCGTCGTGCACTGCTCTGTCCATTCTCAGGTCCATGCCAGAGTTCAAACAGAAAGAAGAGGCAGAGAAAACTGGCGAGAAGCCACCTTCTGATCCAAGTAAGTTTCCACTTCTTAAATGTTTCTGAGCTCAGTCAAGAATGCGGTTCTCCTCTTTCATTGTACGCAAGCTCTCATTATCAGTCTTCTTGTGAGCGTAGTGACTATGACGGCGTGTGCACAATGATAGAGGAGAACAGCATTCTTGAATGGAACCAGACTGACACCATGTTGCTGGACCCTGCCGTCTTTGTTCCAAGTGTCTCTTTGTTCTTTAGTCCATGGTCCACTGTTGTCACTTTTCTTGCTCCTTAGTTGTGAAAAAGAAAACCAATTGTCTTTCCATGCGCGTGTTTTTTGCAGTTCCTACATTTCAGCTTGACGCAAGCCTCTTCCTTGTCATCCCAATCTCGTTCTCAGCATCTCTGCTGCTTTTCTTTTTCTTCTTTTCTCAACTGGAGTTTATAATGGCTATCTACATATCCGGTATGTGAACAAAGTTTATGTTTGCTATTATATTCGGTGCAGTACTTGCTGAAGTGCTGGTGTATTTTACTTTGAATTACATTCCTTTTGAAATTGGCGGATCATGTAAAGTTGCCCTCGATGAAATGATATCTGACCCAAAGTGCATTATTTGGTGCTCTCAAGAGTCAACTTGCACAGCCCTTGATGCCCTGAGAGGGCCACAGATGCAGCTGGACGTACATTATGCACATGCACAAATGCAGTGCTGTAATCGGAACTGGTCCAGGATGCCAGTATTGCGCTTTTGGCTCGAATTTCACCGGGCACAACTGTGCTTCTTCAAAGTAAGTCCAGGCTGGCACATGGAGTTGAGTGGTGTCCAAAAGGTCGCGTTTCACTTCTCAATATTTCTTGATTGTCTTAGTGTTGGATGTGTATGTATTTCTCCCTCCATGCCTTATGTTTCGGGTATCATTGCTTCTCTCTCCCGTCTGCCTGACCTGCTCTAAAAATGTGCTGGCTTTGTTATGTTTTGACTGTCGCTTGATTGCTCAGCGTTTACCATGGTTGCGGTAGCCTTCTCTGTTCAACCAATCTGCTCGTGGCTGAGCTATGTCCTATGCGGCTTGACAACAGCCAGGTGCGTCATCATCTTTTTTCATTCATTTTATTTGATGGCTCATCTTCCAGGGGGAAGTAGATGGCGCTGATTGGGACAGTCTTACTATGTGCAGACCGTGCTCCTGCAATCATGTGCTACTGGATACAGTCATGCGCTGTTAATTAGGGGTGAAAGTTTGCAGTAAAATCCCGAGTTCGAGTAACCAAATTTTCTCTGATCGAATTTGGGTATTCTTCATCTCCTAAGAATCGTATACAGTCAGACCTCGCTTATCCGGTCCTCTCTTATCCGGATCCCTCGCCATCCGAAAGAAAATCGTTGGTTACCGATTTACAGCATACTCGTATGTCGTGCATACATGCAGTACGTGTGTTCAATTATCCTGTTCCCTCGCCTCCCGGATATTGTGGAAAAACGGATGTGTGCGGTTAAGCGAGGTCTGACTGTATAAAAGTCTGGAACTCACCCAGATAGTTTTCTTGTGACCTGTCAAATCGTGAATTCTGATGCCCTGAGAAGTACTCAACGGAAAATAATTCACGGATGTGGCCTTGAGGCGCACCCTGTCCACGGAAATTAAGTATCTATAGATGTGTTCTTATGAAATTATTCTCTTCTCTCTTTTTGTACAGTGTGGGCTTTCCAGTGCTAGGCGAAGTAGCGGTCACGACTCTGATTTCATCAGCCGTCGGGGTCTTTGCTGTACTGGCATGGCTTGTAACAGCTCACTGGATTCTTCTCGATGGTAAGGTCTCTGAAATTACAAGTATTTTTATGACAAGGAATTCGATATTGGTTACTCTTTGAAATATAATTTTTGACTGCAGTGGCCTTGTAGAGATCCCTGCTGATATGGATCATATGGGTCCCCATTAATTTCTGCCGGTGTCTTCTGTCATTTCCAGTGTTAGGCATTGCCCTGGTCATCTGGATGTTGTGTCATATCAAGCTACCCAGCATACGCGTGGCTACCGCGCTGTTCGTTAGCTTGATGATCTACGATGTGTTCTGGGTAAGGCAATGCTACGTTTGTGTGCCCACTGGACTTTTTGTATTTCGCTCAGGGTGTTCCCTGCCAGTAGTCCATCTCCCCCATCCCTTTCCCCACCCCGTATTTCGCTCAGGGTGTTCCCTGCCAGTAGTCCATCTCCCCCATCCCTTTCCCCACCCCGTATTTCGCTCAGGGTGTTCCCTGCCAGTAGTCCATCTCCCCCATCCCTCCTTGCTTCGGCTCGTGTGAAGGAATTCTGTTTCTTGGTTTGATTTCTATGTACATGTAGGTGTTCTTCTCGGAGCGTATCTTTCACAAGAATGTCATGATGGATGTAGCTATGAAGCAAGCAAGTAACCCGGTCAGTACCAGTATCTCGGGGCATTGTCAGCTTGCTGTGCCTGTGGTGAATCCTACCCGGAAGTGTTGCATGGCAGCAGGCTTTGCAAGCCCATCTATGTATAGCTCTGCTGGTTGCCGTGCTAATAAGTAATATCTAAAATTTAGATTATTTAATAAGGCATGCACCGCAGTCATGTGGGCTGGACATGTACTTCATTCGGGGCAGATTGCTTCTTCCTATGGTTCACTCTTGATTGAGGCCAAGTTACTGTTGGTATGCGTGCATAACATAGTGCGTGTACTGTGTTGCTATTGAAACTAAACTTGCTTCGTGAATTCACTGAATAGTTACTAAGAGGCGGTTCATAATTATCGCCATTTATCAACGACCCCTCCTTCATACATGACATGAAGTCATGTTTACCATGTGCTTTCTGTGTTGTTTCCAGCTTGCTTGCCATCACGATCTGGCTCTAACCCTTCTGTTCGGCAAATGTGGATTATATAATTATTATATCGCCCTTCATGTCTGTGCTATTTCAATGTGTTGTTTACCAACTACAGGTTGGAGTGATTGCGAACAAAGTCGGTTTGCCAGAAGTGGCCAAATCCTCACCGAAGATCATGTTGCCTGGCAAGTTTGTCATGCATGGGTAAGGGCTATCCTGCTGGGCCATTGGACCGGGGTGTGTTGAACGACTACTGCAATACCTAAAGTAAAGACTACAACGATAACACCTGCCTTTGGAGACCAATGTCAGACAGCATATCTTGTCTTGCGTGTAATTTGGCCTGCCAATTAAAACCATTTTTTGTGCACCATGGCTACGCACAGGTCTGAGTCTACATGTGAGCGTAGGTCCTAATAGGCAAAGGCGGCTGTGCTCAATGAAACCTAGCCTCGTGAATAGCTTGTAGTGTACTGCTCTAGTGTGTCCTAGCCCAGTGCTTCCTTTCAAAGATAGGTGGTCTACTGATGATGCTAAGTACAGTCCTGCTCAATGAAATCCGATTGCACGTGCAAGCACGCCATGGCGGGTGCTATGCAGCCGTAGACCTCCGAACATTGGGGTGTTCGGCTGGTGTGAGGTGCAAAGCTTACTCGCTCGATCGGATTTCATTGAGCGGTTTTGTACATCACAAGACTGTATACTAGTATCTTACTTTCTTGAAGTTATTTCTTCCTATGCATGCAGCCATCGGACATGCAGTATCCTTCCTGTCTTGCTTCAGACATGCTATGCTTGGCTAGATATGATTCTCAGCTGAACCTTTGTTTTGTGGCTGTCGCTCCTGTTCTTGTTCTTCCCGCTTCCGTAGGATATTTTCAGATGGTTCTGGTGTTCTTGGGCTGGGTGACGTGGTAAGTCCCAGCAGCACATTGTTTGGTGGGCTGTCAGCAATTCCGTTGTCTAGCTATAGCTGGTCAAGTTTAAGGTATAGTACTGTAACCATATGCATAGTTTTGACTGCCCAATTTGTTTTATTCATTGCCATTGTATTTAACCTTATGCATATACTTGTTGAGAGAGAAGGGAACATAAAGCAGTACTCCTGTAACTCTGCGCTTCGCACACAAGCGCTCATCAGACAGCTATTCTGTGCTGTATAGTCATTAGTCACACAGGATGTAATGGCTGCATTTTCTATGTGTTGCATCATATTGCCATCCTGAACATTATTATTGGCTTTCTGCTTCGTTGTGGTGCGTTGTGCAGTTCATACCAGGGCTGATTGCTTGCTTCACCAGGCGCTTTGACCACACTCTGCAGTGCATTGGACGAGAGCGACTGAAGAAAAATCGTGTCATCACCTACTTCAACTGCTCTCTGCTAGGTTTCTGCGCTGGTGAGTAGCATTGTACTCTTCTTCACCTGCAGTGTGCACAATAAGGTAGCATGTGTGTATGCCTTTGCACTTCTGTGACCCGTTTCATATTGCCATACCCCACCTCACCCTCATTCAGAACCCAGCATGGCAATCTCGATAGTGGCAGAGCACATCTACAATGGGTTTTTTCAGTTTTTGCGGATCAACTGTCGCTTGCATCTTTGTCAGGAGTTCTGGTTGGCCATGAAGACTGTGGTGACTTGATGGAAGGACTGATTCCATAGGCAAAACACTGTCACATTGAAGCTCCAATGCACATTCCGAAAACAGCCAAACAGAGCCGCCTAAGCCCTAAACTCTCAAACTGGCCAAGCTGCAGAATGCCCGATATACACTTTCAGATCCACGAACCGGTTTTGATGACCTTGTGTCTATGTGTGCTGGGGAGAGCGCTCTCAGGATGTCAAGACCGAGAGGCCTTTGATGCTGCAAGTGCAATCAGTCCGCATTTCACTTGCCATTGTAACAACAGGGTGTGACTCCGGGGTAGCCTGGTCGGTAAGGCACTGTTCTGTAAAGAGGGGCGCTGGTTTAGAAATTAGAATCTCACCAATGGATCCTTCTTTGGAACATGGATATCCTGCTTGGGGCTCAAACCCATGACCCATCAAAAGTAGCTAAAATAACTCATGCTACTAAACATCTGAAAGGACTTGCCTGAGATAGCCACATTTTCTTCCTCGCCTATGTTTTCTCGTATGCAGGTATGCTGATGTCAACACTCGCAGTCCTGATGTATGGTGTGGCTCAGCCAGCCCTGCTCTACATCGTGCCAACATCCATAATACCGCTGCTACTCGTCAGCATCCATCACGGTGAGACGAGTGCACTGTGGCACGGCGACTGCTCTCACATACAAGTCTTTCCCGTCCACCAGACATAGCGCTTTGCCATCGAGTTGAGAAGTGTTGAGTGATGCAATGGCTCAGGGCGATGTAACTATTGTGTTTGTATTACATCTTGCAATTGAGCCTTTACAAATTGATTTCCTACTTTGATATAAATGATATCACACAACATAAGGGACTAATAATCTCATACACTGTATTAACACTGGCATACTATTGTTGTCCTTACTGGGATACACGCCATGACCGTTTTAATGGGTTTTACTATAGTGTGACCGTCACCTCCTGCAGTCATGCCTGCAGTTGGGAGGCTATTTATTGTTATTATAGTAGAGACAAGCAAATTCTTCTCTGACGGATATTCTGTTTTTGCAGCTTCTTCTCATTGTTTCCAACCTCATTTAGTTGTAGTCCACAGTCATATTCTAGTGTTGGAATTAGTACCAGCTTTTCTTTCACGTTTTCAGTGATAGAGGTTTGTTCCCCGGAGTAGGAGCAATGCTAAAATATTATCGCTGTTGCCTTTTAGAGCGATATAGTGTTTGGGGTTGCACCAGCCTATTGCTAGCTCTCCTGTATTCGTTGATTCCGAATCTTTCTGGAACCAAATCTCAAATTGGTTGTGGTGGATGCTCACTCCTTATTCCCTGTCCCGTCTCTCCTTGGTGTATCAGAAAGTGATGTGCTTTGCTACAGCTCACTTGGAGTAACAACGACTTTGTATGTTTGTTATGGGACACTGTAGTATTTTTTTTAAAGAATGTTGTCTTGAATGGTTGCGTTTGCATTGATGTGTTGTTTGCTGTTGCTGCTACTGCTGCTGCTCTTGTTGTTGTTGTTGTTGTTGTTGTTGTTGTTGTTGTTGTTGTTGTTGTTGTTGTTGTTGTTGTTGTCGTTGTCGTTGTTGTTGTTGTCGTTGTCGTTGTCGTTGTTGTTGTTGTCGTTGTTGTTGTTGTTGTTGTTGTTGTTGTTGTTGTTGTTGTTACTGCTGGTGCTGCTGCCGGAGCCACCGCCGCCATAATCAGCATCGTCATTGTCGTTGTGATCATCGTTGTTACATGAAGCTAGCGTTACAGTCCATTTCAAAACTATAGACGCGTACCTAGGCAAAAACCGTTATGCCAGCATCTATACCACATAAAATCTGTGATCACTTTGTGCATAAATTTTTCCAAATTGGGCGTCTGTTATCCAATCGTTTAGAAACTATATGAGAGTAATTGTGGAGCGGTCCTGAGCAATATTCCGAAAACTATTCTCAAAAAGTTCCAGCCAAATTGGAAATATTTCAAAAACCCTACGCGTCTATAGTTTTGAAATGGACTGTAGGTGGAATGGAGTGTAGTGAGTCTAGTGACCACCTGATGATAGCGGTGGCAGTGATAATCATCAGCCACTCGTTCACACAAGCTACACCACAACCTTTACTCCCTGCTTCACTAGTACTAGTACCAAGAGTCCATAACCTGTTTATGGACTCTTGCTAGTACAGTCAACTTCGCTTATAACGACACTCGGCGGGGCATCAAAAAGGTGTCCTTATTCGCGAAGTGTCGTTATACCCGAAGTCTCATTATATGTATTACAGTGGGATGGGACTGTGCTCTGGGCATGGAAATTCTGTCGTTATTCGCGAATTGTCGTTATATCCGTAGTCGTTATTAGCGAAGTTGACTGTACTAGTACTGCGCAACCTATGAACGAAACTACATGTAAAAGAAAACTAATCTTTTGCTCCCCTTTTTTGAGATTATAAGTAAGTATTAGTTGTAGAGTCTGGCACTGCACACGCAAAGCCACACTGTTTCCCAGCACGGCAGATAGACACTGATTTAGGTCCCTTCTAAAGCCACACTTTGAGCCGAAGTTGACAGGTATTCCCATATGGTCTAGTGGTTAGGATTTCTGGTTTTCACCCAGACGGCCCGGGTTCAATTCCCGGTGTGGGAAACCAACCTTTTTTTTCTTTTCTTTTTTTTCTAGTTCGCCGCACTTTATTTATTCATCGGATACCACACGAACTAGCAAGAGTACATGAAAACCAGGGAGTCGTAAAATACTGGTATTTTACGACTCCCTGATAAAAACCTTTTTTCATGTACTCTTGCTACTAGTACACGAGTACGAGCTCGTGCTGTTCCGTTTTTTTTTTTTTTTGTGAGGTCACAAGAGTAAACAAGCTCCTCCTATGTATGTATTAATTTTACTCTTGGACCAGTAGCCTAGGTGCACAGTTGATAGTAACTTGATACAGACTGTGTTCAGCTGGTACTGTAGCCGTGCATACAGTGCCAAAGCGTATTCGAGTAGATCTAACACCCCAAGATTCGGAAACCGGTTCCTTCTATCAACACAACAAACATCTCCAAATGGCCCCCAGTGCACGTCAACAATGACTACAGTAACTGTTGCTACCAAAGAGTACATAAACTTATGACGTGTACTCTTGCTGTTAGCCACAGGATCCCGTACGCCATACCGCTAAACACAGCAATGCAATCGTCAGATGTGACACCGGGATTGAACATGTAAAGCAAGGCATTCTTAAAAAGAAAAGTTATGTGATGGAAAGTACAGAACTGTTCCCAGAAAACAGAATAGATTTGATTCAAAATTCGTATTAATTTTTAGCAAATAGCCCTAAGCTCCTCCAACTAAAGAGCAAGTCTACAGAGCAATTACATGTACATAGCAGCAAGACTAAACCTATGGAACAGTCTCTCAAAGGCATAGCATAAAACAAGAGTGCCAATACGGTACATGATACCGTCTAGTAAAAAACAAAAAAACATGGCAAGAACATCCTAGCAACACAGACCAACTGCAGTGATTCTATTGTGCACGCAGCACATGATATTTATAGCAGATAAAGACGTTTTGATCCACTACAGGCTATATTGGTAGGCTGACACAGCATGAACGTACACACGGAAATGCTATGTACAAGAGCACGATCGGGACTAAACTAGGATACGGAAAAGAAGCGAAAGACAAGGAAGAAGAAGAACTGGATAAAGTGGAATAAAATTATGACAGTGCGAATATTATACAGCAACGGCTCCTTTATACACAACACACCACGCCCAGCCACACTCACACAACACACACACACACACCTTCAGGACTTGAGAATACCTGTACTGCTAAGGCTGTAGCAGCAGCGGGACTCAGAGAATGAGGCAGCAAGAGTTGGTCTTCTTTGCCTGAAGTTACAAATAGAAAACAAACAAAACAAAAACAAGAGAGGGCATGACCATTATGGTGAATTGAATTCGCATGGTCTCGTTTGGAAAAAAGTATGACTCACTTCCAGAGACGAGAAATTTGGTTTTCCAACCGGACAATATGGCTGTGCTCCTCTAAACGTGATTTCATGCTGTGGCCGGATTCTAGGCATCATTGGTGCTTCTCGGTATGCATGCACATGGCTGCACCAAGTGGCCATGTGCATACGAGAAAAATGAAGGAAAATTCTGCACTATTTGGGAACTTCTTGTCTTTTGCATGCCTCTCTCCGGAAGAGATCGAAGAGATTCGAAGAGGCGCCTGACTTCATAGGAGCCAGTGGGAATGCTTTTCTAAGAAAAGACGCATCACCAGAGAATTACAGAGGCCCACATGAATTCGCCCTTTAATAGGTGCTGTGTACATTATTTTTTTCCCTGCCTGTGGGCCAGAGTGCTACGCTGTATGCGATGTGATAACACTGTTGTCTTGAGGTACTTTGTACATGGTACTTGGTCCGTTTCATCGCAATTGTCGCTTATCTCCCACGCACCTTTTGACAGGTAAAACCCAGTCCGATCTCGATATCTAACTCACATTCGTTTGGGATGGCAAGATCAAAGGAGACCAGAAAGAAAAAAAACATCGCGATTAGCGCCAGTGGCATCGCATTGTTGAGACACACAGTACTGTAGTGACAGACGGGTCACGCTGCCCACGTTCCTCCAAGTGCCAAAGTGACAGCCACGACTGTTCCTTTCCCATCGCTGCCTTTATGCCAAGCGGAGAAAGCAAGAGATACTCCCCAGCACACCAGCGAATGTCAGCTCAAGTGGCATCAGCTCGAGTGATACAGAGCCAGAGTCGGATAAACTAAAGTGTGAGTGGAAGAACGCGCTCCGTCGCTGTTTTCTTTTGTACATTTGTTGTAAACTTGCTTCCTTTCTTCGACTTGCTACATCAGATTCCTTCGCTGAATTTATTTCTTGTGGCGGACAGGAATCCTGTATCATGCTTCTTCACTATGCGTATTGGAAATTTTACAGAGCGGTGAAAAAACTCATGTTCTTAGTTGCGATAGATAAGCGACAATTGCGATGAAACAGACCAAGTACATAAAACCGCAACGGTCTTTAAAACAAAGCTTTCGGGGGCCCTGACACATACACAGACTAGACTGGCGTTGGCAGTGAACTCCACCACTCCACCACTCCACAAAGCACTCTCGGCCAGCCCACTCCACCTGCACAGCACGACCATAGCGAGGCCACTTGTTCAGTTTTCACTTCTAAGGAGCCAGCACAATGTAGTACTAGTAGTGCAGTCAAGGTTCTCAGTACTGGCATGTATGGTGTTGCTCAATGATATCCGATCAAGTGAATCAAGTGAAGTTTGCGCATTGTACTCTGTACTAGTGAACATCCCAGCGTCAAAGGTCCAGGACTGCACAGCGCCCGGCGTGTACTTGACGCACATAACACGATCGAATTTCATTGAACAGCACTGTAGTACACGTGGGCAAGTGAAAGTTGACACAGTGAATGTGGCAGTGCGGAATTCACTGCGCAGCCTAGTATCCCCAGTGCTCGGGCTGCACAGTTCCTAGAACAGCCTAATATTCTCAGTGCTGGGACTGCACAGCCCCAGCGTTAAGGCCGATTCACAATACAACTTTCTGCGACGCGACAAGCGACTTGCGACAGCGACACACGGTTCACAATATTCTTCATGTTTGCGACATCCTCATGCACAAGCTACTAGTACTATGCACGTGCACCCAGGGTCGAAACTGTACTTTATTTGTGTTTGTCGCGTGTCGCATGTCGCAAAAGTTGAACTTTCTTCAACTTCTGCGACAGGTGCATTGCGACAGGCAGTTTCTTGTCGCAACTGTCGCAAATCGCGTCGCAGAAAGTTGTATTGTGAATCGGCCTTTAGTGAATTGTGGTTGGATTTCACCTTCCGTACCTTGAGCAATATTGCTCTGCATGTGCCTGCTTGCTACAACTCACCTCTTGGTAGAATGTTTTCGATGTGTAGCTCAAATACTCCGACTTCTGGACGAGGTCATCCAGCTTCTCTCCTCTCTGCAAGACACTCTCTATGGTATCGTACTGGAGAGCGGATAGAGAAGCATACGTGCACACGCATGCGCCCGCACCCAAAGGCACACACACACAAACAGACACATAGACAATGTATGACGCACAAGTTCACTTGCAAGCTCAATGCAGGGTTTTAGAGCGCAACATATCATGAAAAATCACCTGGGGGGGGGGGGGGGGGGGGGGGAGATACAAATTTTGAACTCTCCAACGGCCATGCACTAGTCGAATCCAACCTCGTGACAGGGAAGCACGCACGGAGCACCGCCATATGCCTTCTTCCTAAGCTACCAGCATTGAAACATCACAGGAATAATCTCTGCCCTCACAAGAAACTCGGAAGAAGCCACTACGAAGCGTTACTTGCTGAACAACAGTGCCACATGACGAGAAAGAAGGCCTGGTCCACAACAACAAATCAGCAAGGACTGAAACAGTCGAACAAGATCTTCCAGAACGTTCTCGTATACTGGGCAGCTGTCGAACTTCGGTGGGTACCAACGGACAGCAGGCAAGAAACAACAAATACGGCCAAGCAGATCAACCGATAGTGAATATCGAAATAATGAACTGAACCTCCTTCTGCGCATAACACACGTACTCACCAATGCACTAATGGAAGATTCTATTCGAACAGACAGGCTGAGGGGAGTAAATAAGCCTTTACGCTTCGAGACTTTCTCGATTCTGAATTCTTCTCGTTGTCTTTGTTGGAGTTCTTGCTTGTAGAAGGAGCCCGTTATGAGTTCATCTAGCAAATCTTTCAGCTTGTAGGTTACTGGATCCGTGTCTTGTATCGTAGTGATTTCAAACACCTCCTCTGTCCAGTTAGTTTCAAACCCTTTCTCAAATTGTTTTTTTTGTCTTGGCAATCCTGACCCTATCCCTTATTTTCAAAGGTGGTTTGTCTTAAGCGCTAGGATAATCGAAGACTCCTGAATTCATCAGTAAGGTGTCTGTGTTCTCTGGCTTGTGTGCTTCGGTGGGTTTCCTCTTGATTGTTGTAGATTTGGGGTGATTCTTCGAGGTACTCGGATGCCTCCTTCTGGGTGAAGAGCTGCCACAGTCTGTTCCTGAGTATTCTGTCGAAGCGTTCTATGACTACTGCTTTACCTGCGTCGTGTGAACTATAGAGTACTTCCTTGCCTACAAATAATCCTCCTCCTCGATTAGCTTTTCACTGAGAGCCTTATGGCATTTCCTGTAACAGGAATTGTATTGCCCTTTACCATCGGCTTCCTATTTTTTCTTTTACATAGAGCTGCTCATCGTGCAGGTGTTTCACCGCCTTGCAACCTGTACAGTATGCCCTCATCTTGAATGATAATACATGTACCTGGATTGCTAAGTAACATGTATAACAAAGATCTTGCCTCCGCGCCATCTATTCGTATACAACATCTACAACATCTAGAAGTATTTTATTTCGGTTTCCCTATGTTCTTTAAGGACGAGGATCAACCAATAATTATCTTCGATGGGCAAATGTTACATGCTCTCATTTTTTAGGACAATCCCTTGAAGTTCAAGGATTGGATAGATTCTTTACTTTTCACCTGGATATTCTATTATGCCAAATACACTCATCTCTCTTATCCGGACCTCGACGTTATGGGCACCTCAGAGCCAGCCTACAACGCACCATGTGGGTGGAAATATTACTACTCTTGCCAGTTTTGTGGAAATAGTGACGTCCTATGCCAGATCTCTGGCCCTTCCCCAATGAGACGTAATAATTCAGTTACGGACATTGAAAGTTACAGGCAGTGCCCTGTCCAGATAAGAGAGATATGAGCACATAGCTATGAGTGCATTGCTATTGGTGGCAAATGTCAACCGTTGTCCAACCATAGCTATAGCTCGGAAGATTATGGGTCTTATTGCTCGGTCATGTGCCCCGAAGAGGAAACCCTAAAGGAGTTTGCTAGCAATACTTGCTCATCTAATGAACTACCGTACCCATTCGACTAGAAGTCGGGGGCTGTTTTCCATTGCCAGTTTTGAAGAGGCTATTATTCGAGAGGAGCTTCTATTTGAGAGGGGCTTTTATTGTTTCAATGCATACCGGTATTCAATAAAATATTTTCTAAAACCTAAAACCAAAAGGATATTGTCAAAAAACTGATGTCTAAGGGTGTCATCGATTGGCGAATCTGGACTGAGTGCGAGCAGGTGGTGTGGTCTGAGCAACGCTGGCCCAATCGAACAAAACAAGGTTGTAGTACGCAAGCATGTACGCATATGGTACAGAGATTCAGTGAAAGCTGTCCAAAAACGCCAAAGTCCATTTCCACTCCAGCCACTTCCGGTGTGGTCAGATTCCACTCCAAGTACACCTACTCCGGATTCGATCAGATTCGGCCAAACAATCATGCTCACTCGGAGCGCACTTGCTCGGGATTCGCCCAATCGATCATGCCCTAAGGTACATGTAGCTAGCTCGAACCACTTTCGTAGTAGGGGTGAAGCATCCTGCAGCTTCATAACTCAAAAATAATTGGTGAGCACACATGCTCATTCCCTGGGCACTGAAAAAACACTTCTTTTCATTTCACAGAATCGTTTTCAACGTTTCGCCAAATTGCCATCATCAGGATGCAATATGCAGTGCCCAGCGAATGAGCATGTGTGCTCACCAATTCTCTTCGCACCACTTTGGTCATGAAAAAACTATGCATGCTAGAGAACAACTTAGAGCAAAGAAAACACCGCACTTCTTCGGATACTGAGCCAATAATACAATGTAAAATAGAAGAGAATACATGGGAACGAGGTATGAAGCAACTGTCCACCACTGTAACAACTATAACTGTAACAAGTGTTATCGCACTTTCTGACTGCATATTATCTTGTTACAGTTTTGAACAGTAGTTTCATAACTCGTTCCCAAGTATTCTCTACTATATTACATCTTCTGTAAAAGTTGTTTTTACCTCCAAGAGGGTTGAGCTGCCTTAACAATAACATTGGTACCAGAAAGGAAATAGGAGATCGACGTGTCCTTATAAACATGTGCATGATATGCAGCAATACTATTTTCCATGCAGTCAATGTACTGTACATGTAGCATACTCCAATAGTGGCCCAGGATACTATAAGAGACTGTGCTCTTATTATTTCTACGAACCCTTACCCCGAGCGACTATAAGAGACTGGGCTTATGTTATAGGAAATACGGTCAATATGTGTTGGTAGAACTTACCAGAATGATCTTGGTCTCGTCCAGTTCTGCCTGCACTTTGCTGATTGAGTCAGCCTGCTTGGGGTCCTAACACGTAAACACACATTGCAACGGGTCCAAACCATCAGAAGAGTTCCAGATAAAGCACGGGCACAGCATGCACTGACAGCAAGAGTACATGAAAACCAGAGTGTGCAGCTCGGATGGGTTGCTGTCACGGCGAAATTCCGTGATTACATCTTTTTTAGTGATGTAGTGCGTACAAGCAGGATTCAAGCAGGTCTCTTTCTGCACAACTGCAGCTCAGTTGTACGCACTACGCCATTTCCCGCCTCAGATCTGGGCCAAATATGATGTAATCACGGAATTTCGCCGTGACAGACACCCATAGCAGAAAAGGCCCCAAGCTGCACACTCTGGTTTTCATGTACTCTTGCTGACAGCCAAAGCAACACCAAGACAATGTTGAGTATCTACAATACACGGCAGGTATACATAGAGATAGCCACAAACATGCCCATGTCATGATCCATACCAATGCAATCGTATGGTGAAAGTGTTCACTAGTACCTGATATTTCTTTAGAAGCTCTGCAACGACTGGGTACCTGGAAAACAGGGCAACAGAGAACGGCAAGAAGCTAGTACTGTCAGAGCCAGAAGGTGTCTTGCAAGCAAGAGGTGTAATAGAACACAAAGGAAGACACTGGCTGAGCAAATAGAAATATACAATCACAATAAATTCCAATAATTAAATACAGTCAGGCGTGGGTGTAACGGCATTAGTGACAACGGCATTAGTGACATAACGACTGGAAAATTGCAGCACGCGCAGTCTACTGTCTCCTGCACTTCACTGCACCCGGATCAAACTTACGTCTGAGCTTCACCAGAAGGAAGTGGACGCCGAGGAAAATCCGTCACAAACTGTTCTAATACCTATGAACAGCAATGACGACGATGACAACAATGACGGCGACGACACGACAAGCATTGGTATTTCAGCAGAATAATAAAAGTGATAGAGATAATTTAACCATTCATATAAAATCTCTCCTAAGTTTCGTTGCAAATAAACCAAGCCATCCCAATAGTTGTACACACATATCGGTCAATCACGCAAGCAAACACAAGTATGTGCTTGAGCGCGCGCGTGTGTGTGAGAGAGAGAGAGAGAGAGAGAGAGAGACAGAGAGAGAGAGAGAGAGAGACAGAGAGAGAGAGAGAGAGAGAGAGAGAGAGAGAGAGAGAGAGAGAGAGAGAGAGAGAGAGAGAGAGAGAGAGAGAGAGACAGAGAGACAGAGAGAGACAGAGAGAGACAGAGAGAGGGACAGAGAGAGAGACAGAGAGAGACAGAGAGAGACAGAGACAGACAGATAGAAAAAACAGACAGAGAGGGAGTGAGTGAGAGAGCAAGAGAAAGAGAGATAGATAGATAGATAGATAAGGGCATGTGTGTGTGTGTGTTTGTGTGCGTACAGATGCATGGCAAGGGTACCTTGTTGAGAAACGTAAAGGCAACTCTCTGTGGATACTCCTGGTCTGCAATGAGGACTGCTCCAGTGTTATCTGACCTGACGTATACATGGCACAGGTACTCTGAGGGTATCGAAATCAATCCACGATGAACAGATACAGCGCGCATGTATGCACACACACACACACGAGTGCGAGCACACACACACACACACACACACACACACACACACGAGTGCGAGCACACACACACACACATACACGCACGCACACACACGGTTATAAACCAGCAGACACGGACATCCAGCTAAATGCGTTAGACTCAGCTAACGACAGATCTTGTACGCAAACCGTTATAGGACTTGCGTTGTCCCAGTCTAGCTTTGCTTCTTGCTTTGAAGAGTGCTGACACTTTACAGTAACTGTCTACAGTGTTGATTCGAATCACAACATGGCCTATATTTCTGTTCAAAGACGAAATCTGCTGCGAAGTAGACAGCAGATGCAAGATACTTCTTACAGCAAATTACGCTGTAATCTTCCCTCTTCACTACTGAGTACTGTGCTTTGCTGGATGCCTATACTCCCAACATTCTACCTTGTTCTTTCACAGACTTCCTTTCGCCAGCATGTGTTCGTTCCACTAAGACCTGACCAGTGAACACCATGAACTCTTGTACTCTGCAGCAGGGCCAACACAAGAAACCCACACGATTCTAGAGGCGAACGATCGGACACCAAACCTCGACAATTCCTACTTAGATCGTTGAAAGTATCCGAAAGATGTCAAGTCATATTCTCCTTTCTGCAGGTTGGCTTTGGTGTCTGACGGTTTATGAAACACTTGCACGCCAAAAAGCTTCATGGTAACTCTAATTTAGGGGTGCCTTCAGACCACAACACCAAAAGATCGAGAAGCTAACAATGACCACGACAACCAGCGTCTAACCAGTACTACTACAAGAGCTACCACAAGAGCTAGAAACTTTGAAAAAACTGTATCCTACTCTCAGTCTGACTTGCTAGCTTTGCTCAGTAGTTTCTGTTTGGAGACAGCTTTGTTTGAACATTTTTTGTGTGATGATCGGTCGATCGAACGATCGCCATTGTTCCTCACGTGTTCTTATGACAGAAGGCAAAACGTGTAGATGTACGTGTGACCATGGTGACGTAAACGTGAAGTAACAGAGGCATGACGTAGCTACCACGTGCACTCAATGATCGATCTATGCCAGGGAGTCGTAAAATACCATGGTATTTTACGACTCCCTGATCTATGCTGCTCGATCTGCATCCTGACGTCGACATGTCGCCTTTTTGCAGGATCAGCAGTCTGCTCTGTCAGATCCAGCAGCAGGACAGATCCTGGAGAGAGAGGAGGAGACGGATAGAGTGGAGGTCTTCTGGAGGACCCGGCCCCGAGTACGGGTCGGAGTCAGTTAGTGTGCCATGATCATGACATGATGATAATGCTTGCATGCAGTCATAACCCGGCGTGAGTAGTCTGCCATTCTCAGTCCCAGACTGAGAATCCGGGACGACTCCCTGCCTCCCTGGTCTTCAGCCCTTGGCCTAGCTTGTGAGTTGCCCAGTGCGTATTGAGACTGTTTCAACATGGTTTAGTTGTGTCGCGAGCAAGATGGTTGAGCACCGACTTGTCACCCGGATCTTCTTCTTGGATTCTTGAGTTGAGATGAGCTTCATCTTGAGCCGATGAAGTTAGACTTAGAACTCAATAGAAGTTAGAGGGATTAGAATGATAAACCTTGTTTTGCTCAAAACATGTTGTTGGTTGACAGCATGTTACAAGGCGGAGGACCACCGACGGTCCGTGTTCGGAAACAGTCAGTGCCCCTAACTAACGTTACTTCAACCATCCATGGTTGGTAGAGCCCCGGTCTTGCGACCATCTGAACTGTATGGGTGTTAGCCCCGGTATAGCGGTGGCGCAACAACAACAGCAGCAGCAGCAGCAACAACAAGAACAACAAGAACAAGAACAACAAGAACAACAACAAGAACAACAACAACAACAACAACAACAACGACGACGACGACGACGCCGGACGACGACGACAACAACAACAACAACAACGCACTTTTGATGTGTCCATAACATATTGAACAACACCAACGTGTAGATGGGGTGTTCCGACGTGGTGAAGGCCTACCCATGTCGGGCCTTGTCGGGAAATCACCAACCTCGTCTACAGAGAGCACCTTCTCACGACAGTGTCATGGTGGTGACAGTAACTGTTGTCAGCTGACGAGCTGAGAGAGGGACGCCATGGGCAGAAGTTGGAAAAAGAAAGAAAAGAGGAGAAAAAGAACAATTCAGAACAAATGCTACAAAGTTTATGAGGACTGAGTAGAAGTTGATTCAAGCAGACATCCGGAGGAGCGAACAAAGAATACACGACGGACGGTACAACAAGAAGACAAAGGCAACTCCCTAGTAGTAGTACATGTATTGAGGGTCAGAACAGGGGCTAACCGTGACCCATACGGTTGAACGTCGGGTCGGTTCAGATGGTCGCAAGACAGACCGAAGACCGAAACAGCTTATTCAATATTGATGCCGCATCATGCGGTAGTCCCTACCATGGCAAGGGACGGTCTACAATAGTACAAATCATGCACCTACTATACTCGATCGGTTGAACTAACGGTTGCGTAATGTTGTTACTTGAGCCAAGTATTAGTTCAGGTCCCTATACATATACTCATCCCTTTATCTGCTATTGGAGGATATGAAACATCTACCCAAGAAGTTGAAGAACGAACTTAGTACTTCCTCGCTATGGAGTGGTGTTGCGAATGTGGGCCAAGAGCGCACGCGCAGTACTCAATGTGGAGAGGTGGACGATTCAGATTATTTTCGAATGCCGTTGATATGGCCGAGTTTGTCGCTATGACACCCCTCGGAATTTCCCACCTTGCTCCCCCTTATGTTCTGGCTGCCCGTTTTGGATCCATCAGTTGCCTGATGATCGTAGAGATACGTGAAACTCGGAGTTGTGACAAAGCTTCCAATCTCTCTCTTGTGTATAATTATTATTAATTATTATTACGACTAGGCTCAGCTGAGTTAGAAAGAACTACCAGTAGTTTGTTATTATTACTTCGAATTATCACTCCCTTAGTATTGACTCACATAGATTTTGCCATACCTAAGCAGTCAAATATTCCTGCATCATTTGACTCCTTAGGGCTATATTCTGTCCCTGCGGGAATTTGCGGAAAAAACTCTCGAAAACTTGCAAAAGAAATTGCGGCAGAAAACAACAAAAATGCGACGAAAAGTGCGGAATGATGCAGAACTTGCCAGGAATTCGCGGAATTATTTGCAGAAAATTGCGGATTTGGGCCAAATCTCGAAATTTGTTGCATCGTTTATCTACTCCGAAGTAGTATGAGTCATACTGTGCAAGTAACCTACAGGATCATGGAAAGCACTGTGTGAAACACGTGAGATATAGTGCAGAAAACAACCAAAAACGTGGGAAATCGCGGATTTTGCTGAAAATCGCGGGTTTGGGCCAAAATCGCGAAATTTGTTGCATCCGTGGAATCGCGATTTCCTGGAGGGACAGTATATTGACCGCTTATATTTGACTCCTTTCTAGCGATTGAACACGTGCTTTGGTTAGTCGTGATAAATCTAATATTGACTTCGTAATTGGTCAGTATAGGAAATAAAAGACCTCGTAAAAAACCTCGGCTTCGCCTCGGTCTTTTACTCGGCCTTTATTTCCTATATTGACCTCGTAGACCTACTCAGTCAATATGACAATATTGTATCTAATATTGACTGAGTCACGAGGTCAATATAGGAAATAAAAGCCGAGTAAAAGACCGAGGCGAAGCCGAGGTCTTTTACGAGGTTTTTATTTCCTATACTGACCAAGTACGAAGTCAATATTAGATTTATCACGACAAACAGTCCGTATTTCAAATTCCAAAACGATAACCTCATGAATCCCGGTTTTATGATTGCACAACCGTTGCACCACCACCTACTCTGAGTACTCATGCAGTGACAATGCTGCACTGCCACTACTCACAGGCACCGTTCAACTGCGCCTAACTTGCCTAAGCAGTCAAATATAAGCAGTCAATATCCCTGAGGAGTGAAATATGCAGGAATATTTGACTGCTTAGGTATGGCAAAAATCTATGTGAGTCTAAGGGAGTGATAATAGATACGTATTACCGGTAATACTTACTTACTACTTGAGCTCACTGACTTGTCAGTTTGAGCACTCTGGCAAGGTACGTTCGGGCCTGATTGGAAATTTTTATTTCCATTGCTATCAGGTTCGGCCTCATTTCCTCTGTGCTGCGCTGATGAGTTCAAAAAGAACGAAACAGCATGCTGTCCGCAGATTGAGTACTTAGGGGCCGTCCGTAAATATCGATGTTTTTTTAGAGACGATATTGGTGCGTCTGGGGGGGAGGGGGTTTGAGCTATGTGCGTCTTTTCGAGCATCAGAAAAATATCGATGTAAATATCTGAAGTTTCGCCGATCCCTGCACGCGGACGTCTAAATGGCTATACAAGAAATGTGAAACCAGCTTCCGTTCGCGGAGCTAAAACTCGCGACACGAGAACAAAATCAAAAATTGGAAGCTGTACGCCCATGGCGAATTTCAAGAGCAAAAGAATGAGCTATTGATTGTGGAAATCGGCCGAACGATGCCTGCAGGAGACCTTTTTCAAGACGTAGAGGCAGTGCGAACAAACACGGACGAACTCCACAAGAGTTTCCAGTCTTCACTGTCTGAACAAGGATTTGAAAAAATTCAAGCCCGAGCGTAGCCGCTTTGTCTACACCAGTACACATGGTAGATCTACACGATGGCTGTGAGCACTGCAGCGCCAACCCGGTTCGCTCCCCCCAGGCGATGCAGCTATTGCGTGAGTGCGGCGGGATTTTCACGCCTACACCGGACCCTCAACATCCTGGGCACTTCATGAGCATCCAAAAAAATATTTAATATTGATTCCATGATCTAGATGTACATGTGCGTCTTCTGGGGGGAGGGAGGGGGGTCAAGGGAGAGAAGCACCAATATCGTCTCTAAAAAAACATCGATATTTACGGACGGCCCCTTACTACTTGTAAATGTAAGTATTAGTAATTTAGTTGTAGTTTAGTTCTTAGCTAAGCTAACTCAGCTGAGCCTAGTCGTGGCCATGGTAACGGCGCAGGCACCTGCTGCGTGTGATGAAACCTAGGAAACAGCGGCTATGCTCTGAACATAAACGCGCTAACCACGAAACTGTTATCTGGTTATCATGCATTTGTTACGTGCAGCACACCCTTCATGCATGGTACTATTGGTAGATCCCCCTTTCAAACCAAACAAACTGCAAAGCGGGGATCAACAGCATACACGCATGAGTCATGTATGATGTAGCTCCTGTTCGACTGCTTTCACAAACAGCAGACTAGACGGTCAGTGTGTATCTATTTGTCAGCCAGGCCCATTTCTTTCAAACTGATCATTTCGCAACTGGCACATAGACGAATGTTGAATAAGCTGTTTCAGATTATTTCAACGCGTTACCATAATTGTACCTGTAGATTAAATTGACACGCTACCGGCAGTCTAAGAGCAAAGCTGTCCGCCTTTGCGAGCACAAGAGTCGTTATCCTTGCGTCGGAAAGTGAGCGAGTGTCGACAGTGTGAGAGCCTGCGCCTGGTGTTCATTCGAGTCACACAGACACTGGACAATCACCGCCATCATGGTAAAGGTGTTTGTAAACGACGTGGATGACTACCCGGGAAATGTTATCGCAAAGGTAAGAATGACCACAGCAACATGCAGCCCACGGAACCCACTGAGCACATGCCCTAGCATGCAGTACATGCAGTGCTCAGTGCTCATCTCCTAGCCTAGCCTAGCCTGTTCACATAAACACTGAGCTAAGGGCACAATTGCTAGGAATAGTAGTATGCTTATGGTTCGTGCAACACGTTAGCGAAGATTTACAGGACTTGTACTGGGGGGAGTTCAGATTTCTGAGGCATCCGAACGGTTAGCATAGTCGTCCTGTTTCGTTGTGACCAGGCAGCCGTATAGAAACGGGTCTGTACGACTCACTGGTGGTGGCGGCAGAATACTGCACGCTATAGCCAAATCACAAGAAATGATCCGAGAGCAGGCCAGATGTTGTGAACAGCATGCTTTGCCTACTGTATTGCCTAGTTCATTCCGTATCAAACATAGCCCTAGCACATCACAATACACAGTCATATATTACACATACATTCATCAGCTCGTGCATGCAGTGATGCTCAACGAAATTCAGCCAGCTGGTATCACCTACACTGATGTATTCATTTCAGTCTAGTAGTTAGTGGGGGGGATACTGTGCAACCACAGGTCTGCGAACACTGGACTGCGCACAGGTGCAGGGGCACTACCGTCCTGCTCAATGAAATCCAGCCGAGTTACTCAAGTTTGCGCCTTGCACCACACGGTTTTCGCAGGTCTACTAGGGCTGCGAAACGCAATAGTACATCTTACCTCAGAGAAAAACATGTCAGTGCTGCATGTTATTTTGCCTCACCCCGGAGGGGAAGTTAAATTGAAGAGCACCTTAGGCTTGAAGTACAGATGCCTTTGCCACCTCCATTCGACATAGTATTATGTTGAATTTTCATGTAAAATCCTGAATGACGCTAAGATACTGCGGCTGGCAGCATCAATGGCTGACACTCTACTCACACTGCATTTCACACAAAGGCACTCTTCACTGGTAAATATTTCAACGTTTCAATCATCGTCTCGGATCATCATCAGCAATGAAGTGGATATGGTAAAAGAGAGGCTTTATGGGAGGCTCTGTGCCAATTGGGTTCTCAGGAGCAAAAGTGACGAAGAACAACAGAATTATCAGGGCAGGACAGAAAATTGGTAAGGTGTGTGGTGTGCAACAACAACGAAAAAGAAGTAAGGTGTGCTAGAATTGGTAAATGCTCTAGTCTACGGTGATACTCATAGGCGAAATGTGACAGAAACAATGTAAGTTGATCATCAGCATCAGTGCTAGGGTGACAGCAAGAAACAGCAGCAACTCAACAACAATGCCGGGTGTGTCACCTCGAGTTTGTGATGGGATTGTCTCAGGGGATAGGTTTCTCTACCTGCGCTGCCCGGATATAGCTAGCGCTGATTTGCCTACCTCGGTCTCCCGATGCTAGAATAGCTCATCCTCTGTGCTAGGACAGGAGAAACACACAATGCAAATTACTTTTCTGCTGGTTAGGCGCTACCATTATACCCTGAGCCGTTAGCTTTTGATATTGTATGATACGCTTCATCATTGCACCTATTTCTTGCTGTGTAGTATTAGAGTACTGACCCTGATGGTCAACTAACGTTGTTTCTGTCATATTTCACCTACTGCTACTGCCTTAGTAGGCTTCAGCACTTGCCAATTCTAGCACACCTGCTTACCAATCTTCTGTTCCGGACTGTTAATTTTCAAAGTGTTGCTCTTTGTCACTTTTGGTCCTGTGAACCCAATTCACACAGAGCCTCCCATGTAACCTCTCTATACCCATATCCACTTCATTGCTGCTGATGATCATGAAGATCGAAACATTGAAATATTTTCCAGTGAAGAGTGCCTGGTTTGTGTGGAATGCAGTCTGACAGTGTCAGCCATTATTGCCGGCAAGTTGGCAACCATGACAGTTTTTTGAATTTCCCTATGAGTACTGACAGAGGCAAGTTATTACTAAACAAGTGTTAAGCAACCGCTGCCCGGAGAAACCACCTGTTTTGAGAGATCCGCCATCTCGGGGCCCTCGAGCATCTGATCATTGCCTTGTCATACAGGTGGACCTGCTTAGGAGGTCCACCTGTCTTTGGAGACCATTTTTGTGCACCCCGTTCACTTGGGTGGTAGCTGAAGCTAGAACCTACTGTCTGTAGAAGATAGAACTAGTATGCGCCCGGGTACCTAGCATGTCAGTGATCACACCGATTTTGTTCTTTCATGCCGTTCAGGTGTTTGCATCGAGCAATGTTGGTGCTACAGCGCAGCCCGAGGACGATGAGGACGAAGTGCAAGAGAACGCAGAGCAGTATATCGTATCCGGCACGGTTTGGGAAGACAGGCCAGATCTGCTCGACGACAGAGACACACTTGATTTACCGGAAGATGTGAACATAATCAAAGTAAGGACCAGTGCGGCAACTGTGCCACCCAGCAGTCCCATGCAAGCAATGGAGTTGCTATTTACCGTATTTTCCCCATTAAACGTACACATCTCCAATACTAGTACGTCTCCAATTGTAGTACATGTTGAGTATGGATTCCAGAAACTATAAAAGTTCATGTCTCCAATCCAATACTAGTAGTCTCCTATAGTAGTACAAGTCTGCCCACCTTAGAAAAATTAAAAGTACTGTACATTTATTGGAGAAAATACGGTAGGCAAAACATCAGTAATCTTGCAATATTTTTAAGCAGTAGCCTACTGCAAGATTACACTTGTGTGAACGAGAGATGATCAACATGTTCTTCATTCAGCTGCATGAGGGTTTTTAACTCACACAGTGATTGTGTCGATCCGTTCCTCATAAGGAGACATGTCCTGTATGCAAACTGACGCTCATGATAATTATTCGTGTTTCAAGTGCCCTGAATTCCTAAACTGACACCAACGGCAACTGTATGTATGTTTGATCCTTGCAGAGATCAGAGAAAGATGACGAGTCTATGGTTAGAATGTGGATGCAAAACGACATTATCATTTTCAACATTATGGATAGCCTAAGACAACAGGAAGACGCCGAGGAGGCTATCATTGGTACGACAAATTCATGCATATCAGATTGAATATCAATATACAGTAGCCTTGAACCTCTCACAGGGTTGACAACATACCTCAGGACAAAAGGCTGCAGGTATGGGATGTGCAGGTTGGAGGGGGGGGGGGGGGGGAGGGGGATGTCCGGACAAGGGAGGTCCGGGTAGGAGTGACTCTACTGTATTGCTTGCAATACATTTGTAGGCAGGTTACCATGTTCTAGTCTAGCACTCACTGCTGGTGTCTAGACACTTAGAGAGTGTGTGATTGTGTTCCATGCACTGTTATGCACATCATCCTTTGTGCAATACGGCTCATCACTGATTGGCGGATAGTAGAGACTACTAGAGAGGTTATGTGATTACACCATCAGTTGAGATGCTTTGGTGAAGTCGCGGACTCGCAGCACAGCGCTACACATGCACTAGCGACTCATGCTGTGTACTTAGCGCCCATCAGAAAATCCGCTGACTCACCCGTGAAGTCACTCGCATAACCTATATACGCGAGGATGTTTTGCAATCATGGATTCTCTGGTCCACACTCTTCTGTTTGTTATGCACAGCTCTGCACAATCGGATCAAAGAACTACCCAAGAAGATCACATTCATTTGCCTCTCCAGCTGTCTCTCCTGGGCCAAGACAAAGCCGGCAGATCCAGTAAGTTGCACATGCGCATACTATAGTAGAACCGTGTGCAGAAGAAAACTGATTCGGCAAACTTCTGCTTTAAACAACTAGCATTCACGGCTCTATTGGACAAATCACTGCGCATTCACGGGCACATGTATAAAGTAGGGATAAGAAGAACTTCCGCGACGACAAGCAATTCCCATCGGTTCCGTGGTGCTCACCCTAAAGAGGCTTGACTGTACATGTGGAGAGCGGATTGCATCGTGAAGAATGAAGTAATGCTGAAAGCGACGGTGACAGGAACACAGTCATTGCAAACTGTATGCTTTGGTGAGTTATGTGAGTCTTGACTGTACGAGCTAGGGCAGTTAGAGTGTGTCTGAACTCTGAACCATATCAAGTTTGGCTGCAGAAGATTTTACATGGAGACAGCTATACATCGATGGCCAGGAAAGACTCATTCTGCTCTACTAATTCTCCTGGTAAATAGATGTATTCATGTATCGCTTTCTCTGGCCTGTAATGGTGTGTACATTTGAATTCAGGAAGAGCCAGAGGTTGGCTTGTCGGAGGATGAGTACCGCCGCCGCAAGTCACATCCCGGCTACAAAACGCAGGCCGTTCTTGAGAAGCTGGTACTGAAGCTTGGCAGGACGGTAAGTACTAGTAGTGCGTGTGTGTGTGCTTGGGAGGAGGGGGGGGGGGGGGGGTGTATGCAAGCAACTTCATGTATGCGTGGGGTAGGGGAATGGTACAGTGTCACTCGGAGAAAAAGAGAGAGAGAGAGAGAGTGTGTGTGTGTGTGTGTGTGTGTGTGTGTGCGTGTGTGCGTGTGTGGGGGGGGGGGGGGGGAGGGTGATGCATTGTGTGTGTTTGTGTTGATGCAATGTGTGTGTGTTTGTGTGTGTCACTGTGTTTGTGTGTGTGTGCGTGGTGTGTGTGTGTGTGTGCACGGTTTGTACACATGCGCACGTGTGTGTGTGTGTGTGTGTGTGTGTGTGAGCGTGCATGTTTGTACACATGCGCACGTGTGTGTGTGTGTGTGTGTGTGTGTTCACTGCTTATGGTGTGCTTCCACAGGACAGCGACAGGCTTTCAACGTACGTCATTACAGCAGGGCTGATCTATGGCAAGGGCGAAGGGGTCTTCCACCATTTCTTCAAGGTGAGTCATTCGCGTGGAAGTTATCTTCTTCGGCTCTTCAACTGAACGGTTCAGTCAAAGACGTGTACAATCCTCTGTGTGTGTAACATTGCTTCAAATATCAAACTGTCAAATGATTCAAGACAATTCGGCATAATATAGCAGAATTTGATTGCTCAAGTGGAAGAAGACTCGTTTAGGACCTGTTTGTAGTATTCGATCGAGTCACACATCTACACTGTTGTTTTCTTCCCAAGTAGGTCACGGTGCTTTGACCGTTATGATGGTAGTGAAGCGACTGTGCTGTTTGAATCTCAGAACACCTGGGCTATAGTTGACCCCCCCCCCCCATCATTTTCCTAGCCTTGCATTGCCCGCAGACTGGCATACTTATGGGGCATGCTAGTCAGTCTCCTTTTTCTGCTAAGTTGCTGTCTGGATGTGCAAGACTCTGAGAGTGCGAGTCAAATTCTCCATTATGCGGCAATCCTGGCATAGAGGGGGGGGGGGGGGAGGAGAATAATACACTCTAGGTGCCAATTGATGACACACCAGTGGAATGGTAAACTTGTCCATAAGTAAGTACATGTACTTGGAAAAAAAACTACTCACTTTGGAATGCAACAGACACTGCTCTTTGTTGGTGGTTTTCTTGTTTTGTGCTCAATGTTGTGGTCATGGCTGATGTCGAATGTGCAGGAAGCCTGGATGAGCGGAGCGGCCGTAAACATGATTGGTAAAGGCGAAGGTGTTCTGCCAACAATTCACATCACCGATCTCTGCAGGTCAGTACTAGTAGTAGGCAGCTTCTGTTGTACCGCGTAGTAGTACCGATCAGGCTACTGATGTGTTGGTGCCAGTATGGCCTGAGGCAGATGGCGTTGCCTCAAGTCCAGGAATGGGTCATTGCACTCGGCAATGAACTGCATCACATTCACATAATTTGTATAACGAGAGAGCTTGGAAGCTCAGGGCCCTACGCTATGCTTTTTTTTTTGCCTTGATGATCTAGACAAAAAAAACATAGGGATGTTATAAATTCTTTAAAAAATTCCTTTTTTTTAAGACATAACCTGGGATTCGAACCCGCACTATCGCGCGCCCTGCATGCATCCCCCGATACACTTCGCATACATACTAATTCTTCCAAGTTGTTTCACATTGTGATCTTGCATTTGAAAGCCCTATTTGAATATGCATTGTGGCCAGCCGTCTTTGATGGCACGGTACGGTAGGGGATAGGTACGGGACAGGTACGATCGAGGGTAATACGACACCGTCTCCCGTACCGTACCGTACCATCAAACACAGCTGGCCACATACAGCTGCCCGCAATATTCAAATAGGGCTTTCAAACGCAAGATAATAACGTGAAGCAACTTGGAAGAATGGGTATGAATGCGAAGTGCATGGGGGAATGCATGTAGGGCGATAGTGCGGGTTCGAATCCCAGGATATGCCTGAAAAAAGGAGAATTGAAAAATTTATAACATCCTATGCTTTTTTGCCGTCAGATACGGATAGCGCCAGGCGTGACACAAACAAACAAATACCAAATTAAAGCTGTGTGGACCCTGGCTAGCGCCAGATGTTACTGAAGTAACGTCTTCTGCATAGCTACGGGAATAAAATGTCAACATTCAGTGATGGTGACTACCCAGCCATCACTATCACTAGTACACTGTATAAGTTGTACACTGCCTGGTCAATCCTACACTGCCTGGTTAATCCTACATTGGCTACAGAGCTCTCACAGAACGGCCAACTGGCACAGTGTTGCCATCTCTACAAGTTTACTTCCTGTGAATTTCTTGCTCGATACATGTGTGGTGTTGTTTTTGTGCTCCAGTGTCCTCCGCAATGTAGTCGAAAGCAGCTTGAAGGTGCGCTTCATAGTCGCTGTGGACGATGGCGTCAGCACCCATGAGGAAATCATCAAAGTAGGTTCGAACCCAATGAGCGGAAACTTTGTTGAGCCTAAACCTCGCTGGCTTCTGGGTAACACAAATACGGGGGATGCCAGTCTGTATTTGCTATGCTGATGCTGTCACGGTGTGCTGTATGATAGTTGATGCTGTGCTGTGCCCCAACTGTTACATAATCAGTGCGTACTACAAACTGTAGTGGATATTATCCGCACATAACACATTATTATGAGGTATTACAGCCCCAAAAGAACTAATTGTAACGAAGAAATGTCACGCGTTGAAACGTTGGATTTACTTCCTCGTTATAATCGGGGAGTAGTACAATACTCCCTTACATTGTCTTACAGTATGCAGCTGGGAGGAACTGAGGTGTGAGTGCAGTTGTGTATATGACTCCACCAGTCCCCTGCATGCATGTAGGTCTACGTCTACATGTAGCGTGGTGCACGTTGTAAGTACTGCAGACAAAGATGATCAAAGATGATTTTTTTAGCCAGCATATTGGACGTACATGCATAAAAGACCAGGTGTGAAGCTCGTTGGCCAATGATCTTGTTGTACCCCAAATACTAAGACCTTTTCTCTCTCCCAACACTGTGGGGAGCATTATAATCAGAGCTTCACGTGATGTAGTACATCTGCCATTATTGTATTGTCTAACCAAATGTTGTGTCCTGCTGTGCCCACGCAGGCAATCAGTCAAACACTTGGTAATGGCAAGGTTGTAGCAACTGACACTTCCAAGTTCATTTTGACGGAACTAACTGGGGTAAGCTGAGTCAATGTGCGAACCATACACAAGACAGATAGACAGGCGGAAGGGAAAGTAATTTAAGTATTCTTCATTCCTCGCACACTTCCGAGTTTCTTCGACTTTTCATCACTCTTGGATTTCCTTATGTGTGTGTGTGTGCGTGTGTGTGTATATATATATATTATGTGTGTGTGTGTGTGTGTGTGTGTGTGTGTGTGTGTGTGTCTCTCTCTCTCTCTCTCTCTCTCTCTCTCTCTCTCTCTCTCTCTCTCTCTCTCTCTCTCTCTCTCTCTCTCTCTCTCTCTCTCTCTGATTTAGCCACCCACACTAGTAGCAAGTGTTACCTTCACTGGGGGCAGGGGTAACTGCAGTTGGATCCCTGGATGGATACCCTGATGCCGTCAATCCTTTTTCTGCACCTTGTCCTCACCCACTTACTGAGGTGTGGTGAGCCCATAAGTGGGGTCATTTTCAAGTCCACCCAGAGTTTTGGGGATTTCAGTGGGTGTCGGCCGTTGGGCGGTTCAATAGCCAATTGAGTCATCTTTCCAAGATTCCTTTTGAGTCTCTCTCCCCTCTCCCGGGGAGACTCACGTGACCAGTTTTGGCAGTGAGCAACACGTACAAGTACAAGTGTGTGTGTGTGTGTGTGTGTGTGTGTGTGTGTGTGTGTGTGTGTGTGTGTGTGTGTATGTGTGTGTGTGTGCATGTGCATGTGCGTGTGCATGCGTATGCACATCTGCGATGATTCGTTCATACAACCTAGCAACCCTGCCTGGATCAGCTGCTAGTAAACCTAAGACTGGAAGGTGGCTGCATCAAGGAGCTGATGAACATCGAATGGGTTTCGGATGTAAGGACCGTCCATTGTTGCATGCCACTTGTAAACCGTAGGGGGACATTTACCCGGCCCAGTTTCTTATTCTTGTTCACAAGACTTGGCCGTAGTCTATCCACCACCACTAGACAGTACTGCAAACATTGTCAGGCAAGGGTATCCAAGATGACAATTGGTACAATGGTGGTGGTACTGGTGATGCGGTGTTGGTGTGTGTGTGTGGGGGGGGGGGGGGGGGGTATGTTTTCTAAAGTATAATGAGGCTTTCACTTGCAGCTCCACAGTGTAGTCAGCCATTTCAGTACTGTGCAAACTGGACATGTTGAATACTATTTTACAAATACATGGAACATGTTTGCACGTCCGCACTACAACTGGCTATCTACATGTAGAAAGAAGTCATTTATCTTGACACATTCTATGTGTCCGGTGTACACAGGTAACATTGTGTGCGTAGCGAATCCTTTAACCCCAATAAGTACGAGTTGATGGACTCGCATGGATGCAACAAAAAAAGTGGCTGGGTGCATTGCTCGTGTTATACATTTAGAAGAAATACTTCGAAGTAGAAAGGCAGATTTTATTAAGTACGCTAGAAATTGTTTGGCGATCAACGCTACAGTCCATTTTATGTTCTTTGTTTCAAACTAGTACAGTCGACCTACCCTTATAACGATATTTTCATCTGACCAAGAAATATTGTTATAAGGGTAATATTGTTATAGGGGTAACTGGTTCATTTCATACACATACGTCATAATGCATGAATTTAGTTCATTTTTTACACTCTTCATAGCGTCAAAAACGTATGTACATGCACATTATGTACACAGCAAGGTGCCCACTGGTGCCCTCATCGCATTTCGTCATGTCCCAGCGACTTATCAAGTGAATCTTGCCCTACCTTGACAGTGGACTCTACATATCCCCTGCTGGATATTGTTATAAAATGGAAAATGTTGATTGGTCAGCCCATTTTATATTGTTATAGGGGTAATATCGTTATAGCAATATTGTTATAAGGGTAAGGCGTTGTATACAAAAGTCAATGGAGTGATTTGGTTTGGCAGAAAAATATCGTTATAGGGGTTATCGTTATAAGGGTAGGTCGACTGTATATGGTTGGAACCTGTCCTAGAGGGTTAAACTAAATTTGAGATAAAATGCCTCTGTTAAAAATTGGTTGGCACAAGTTAAAAAATGTCGTGAAAATTTAAAAAAAATCACGGTTCGTGTTAGACTCAGACTAGGTTTTCCGTAATGAGATTAGCGATAAAATTTGTCAAGCCCGTTTATATATACACCGTTGCCGTTGGCTATTACACGCTCCAAGGTTCCTCTGACAGTGAATACACAACTGCCGGCACAATGAGGGCGGTGAGCAAGCTGGAGAGGAAGTTGACAGCGTGATTGTCCAAGATGTCTCGGCCCGTAATGTGCTCCACGTCCGGTCCTGGCTGGTTGACTACGCAGTTCTTTGACGTATCACGGCCGGAGTACTGTAGGGTGGCGCCAAGAATGGAGTCAATGGTTGAGCACAGCAATCCAGACAGTGCACCGATAGGTATTGCAGGCCAGCAGCTTAGCGTCAACCCGGCAACGTCCTTATCGATAATGTGCTGCACTGACATGCCCACAAAGAAGGCCACGCCAACAAGCAGACCGCCAAGAAGACTGCACGCAGTGCCTATGAACGATATTCCGCCGTTGGTGCCAGCTGGGACGGGCCGCAGCGTGAGAACGTGACGCGGAAGATTGCTACCTTGAAGGATGCCAAACTCGGACGCCCACGTGTCCCCACAACAGCCAGCTAGAGCGGCCATGCATGCCACCGCTGACAGCAGTGCAGGGTCAACAAACTGAAAGCTGATTGACTCATAGCCATCTGAGCCGGGTGCGGAAAATGCCGAGAAATACAGGTAGGACAGCGCAGCCGATGTGGCCACGGCACCATTACTGAACACTTGCACTATGTTACGCTGACCACCTACGGAACAACACAGTAGCATACGAACAAACGTATTATTTAGGCCAGGGTCACACCAAACGAGCAGTGTTTGGCTTGTGCTGAATAGAGGGAGTGGTCGCACCAGAAACAACAGTGTCACAAGTTTTGCTGTGGAAATACATGAGTTATGCATCTTGAACTACACCTCAGAGTGTCGTACTGTCAAAATCTTGCCATAAAACTAGGGGCAGCACAGTGTCGTCTTGTAGCCCTCAACTACATGGGCAAAACGTGCACCATTCGCAAACCGAGAAAAGTATCACCGAAGTAGTTAGTTTGTCGACTACTTGCGGCGTGTTCCTTTCTCTCGTGTTACCGAGTCCACGTATGCTGTACTAGCTCACCTTCTCTCCCCCCCCCCCTCTCCTCCTCCTCTCTCTCTCTCTCTCTCTCTCTCTCTCTCTCTCTCTCTCTCTCTCTCTCTCTCTCTCTCTCTCTCTCTCTCTCTGTATTTCTTAGCCCTGAAGTTCTTCTGATGAGGTTTGTAAAACTTTCATAACTTTTTTATGAAGTTTTATTCAAATCGAAACGCTTGATCAATTGACTGACTTGAGCCGAAAAACATTCAGCTGACACGTACTTGGACTCAAGTCAGTCACGTGTTTTTCAAATAAGATCATACTCGTACTGTGCAACTTCCCACTGAGCTTTCTGAGAGTTACTTTTATGAATACACCTTTCCATGGTTCTTACTGTTGGTGCGCCAATTACTTGATTTGTTACGGTAGTGTTGTCCCTGCCCCTTTTGGAAGGTATATGCCCCTTTTGGAACGTGTGTGCTGGGTCGGCGTGGTTGTTGTGCAGACCGCGCGTGGACTGCGCAGGTTGCGCATGCCTGCATTTGTCCGCATTCTTGTTCTTGGCCTTCTTCTTGAGACTCTCTTTGGAGTAAAGCCTAAATGTCAGTCCTCTGTTTGTGGTACCTGTGATGTGAGAGAGTAATCGGAAGGGCTATCGTCTGGTCATAAACCCCCCGACGACAGTAGGACAGTAAAAATCTGCCACCTGTCCCAGAGAGGACTTCAGCAACTAGGACCAAGGGAATGTTATTTCCAGTCATTATCACCCCTGGATGAGGAGACCCGTGACCTGTACAGAGGGACCACATTTGTAAGACAAGCGTGCCCAATCAAATACATATACAGCCTGCTCAATGCAATCCAGTCGCGTGACTCGAGTTTGCGCCTTGCACCATTTCGCAGCCCTGTGTTCACAGGTCTAGGGCTGCGCAATGCCCGGCGTGTACTCGAGTGACGCGACTGGATTTCATTGAGCAGCACTGTACATGTCCAGGACGCAAAAGTACACTGTCGCTGCTATAGTGCTCGATGCAAAGCACTGAGAACAGAATGAGCCGCACTATTTGTTGGGACGCCGAGTTTCACGCTATCTCAACGTGATCAGCATCTTGGAAACTCACAGTCCCAATGAATAACTTGGTCCATCATGTTGAATCATGATGTTCCCAGTCAGTGCCAGTCCAATCAAATTCAGTATACAGTCAAACCCCTTTAGGACGAACACCAAGGGACAGATGATATTTGTTTGCAATAACGGGAGTTCTTCTTATCCGTATCCAGTGAATATACAGTGATTTATCCAATGGAGTTAGAAATACTAGTTCGCAAACATTTGTCTTATCAGTGTTCTTCCTAAAGCGGGATTCACAGAAGCTTTTTTGCGATGCGACACGCGATGCGACAGCCGCGAAACCGGGAAATCCCCAAATCGCAGCCATCTCACACCCCACGCAACTGCCGCAACTGGGCCATCGCAGAAGTTGAGCTTGGCTCAACTTTTGCGATGCGACAAGCGATTTGGCGTACGATTTTGACCTTTTCTACAGCAAAGTTGTACAAAGGTTCAAGAGTTGCCTATAAATTTGTACTAGTTGTACCAAACCGCGCGAATGCCATGGTGACGTACCCAAATCAGCAAGACTTTGTCGCATCGCTGACTTCTTCTGTGCATGGCATTTCGCGAGTTCGTATCGCACGCGTCTGTCGCAGATCGTATCGCATCGCGTGTCGCATCGAAAAAAAAGCTTCTGTGAATCCCGCTTAACGAGGTTTCACTGTACATGCATGGAAGAAGTCTTGATGATTTGTAATACAGTGGTCCCTCTATAATCCGGCACCATTTGTGCCACGGAAATCTGCTGGATTAGGGAGGGTGCTGGATTAACAAATCTGATTTACTGCTGCAATATGCATGAAGAGGACATTTTGGCTACTGAAAATTGTGCTGGTTTATCGAGGGTGCTGGTTTATAAAGTGCTGGATTAGAGAGGGACGACTGTAATATTGTACCGTACATTGTATACAGTCATATAATTACCGGCAAGAGTATGCAACTGTGATCTCTTTTCTATGGGCCAGATGCGCGGCGCGCTGCCTTAATTACATCATTTCGGTGCAGTCCGCGCACTGCGGAAAAACAAACGCCGCACTTTCCCTCTGGTTTGAAATGAACTTTCGTACGTAACTGGACGTCACGCGCCAAAAGTTAGATATTCCGTAGGCATTGGAATGATTCGAGCAAAAACGAATGGACTCGCACGAGAAATTTTGGGTTTGAGTGCATGCTTTCAGAGCGTGATGAAGGCAGCGCACCGCGCACTGACCCATAACCACAGTTGCATACTCTTGTTTATGCACTCTTGCTACCGGTATGTTGATTATTTTACTGAGTGGCTTGGCCCATGGCCTTCATGGTGAGAGTGGATGCATGCACGTTCCTTCGTGGGCAAGTACACCACGTTTTCTTTGCAGTACATGTGCAGTGTTTTACATACTTGTACAACTTTACCTTTCTTGTACGTCGGGTCCAAACGTCTCTTCGCTCGCTTCCCGACACTGGTAGCACATGAAGAAGAGACGAAAAACGCGAGGAGAGCGAAGAGAAGGCTAGCATGGCTGGCACTATGCGATAAACCCACTGCCAGAGAGGCGGCTGCACCACCAACGTCAAGCCATCCCTGTAACACTGCCACGATGGCCAGTGTTAGCGTTACGGCGCATGGAAGAAACAGATGCTCCACTAAGTAATACGGACGGCCGCCGTAGGACTTCTGATCAACCAGCACAATCGTGGCGATCACAGAAGCAATTGCCCACACAATTACGACGTATCTCAAAAGTCCCATAATTGTATAAACGTTATTTTCAAAATTCTGCTTCACCAATGCTACGATTCTACGCCAGCGACATTATAATATAGCACTCCTACGTAGCACTCGCACAGGGGAAAGCAAAGACAAGTTCTGTTCGAACGATAAACGATAAACAAACTCCCTGCTTGCAGTTCGACTTTGCTTACAGCTTGAGCTTGGTCGATGTTGGTTTTCGAATTTTTCGCTCTGATGTCCCACGCCACGTGGCACCAAGCATGACGTGCGCATGCGACTCACTCAGTCGGAGACGGCACGCGACGCCTTGGCCAGCACGCTATATGCGCGATGTACGCCGTACACGCACTTTTAGCTGTAAATGTGCATTCCTCTATCTAGAAGTAAGTAGTTAGTTCTTCCCAAGCCAAGTACAATGTAACTTGATCGGATTTCATTGAACAGCAAGCGTTGGCAAAGAATGCTTGAACATTTGGCAGATTTTACTCGAGAAGCATTGAAACTTGGCAGAAGCATACAAAGCTCATGGGCCATGGCAGATAATTGCTTGAACCCTGCTCCTCTTTTTTCCTCTTTTTTTAAATTTTTGATCCTAGTACCAAACATGGGTGAAACATACCAGAAAAGTATCAACTTCCGCCAGCCATTTTTCTGCTGGCATTATCCACCAAAGGCTATTCCATGGGTGCAGACCGGGAGCCTCGGATGACTCGGGTCTTATCTCTTCTGTGTAGTATCAGGAATGATCTCTCATGATCTTCTGCTGTGGCAACGATCTATGTACTTGTATGTATCTCTGTATAGAGACACAGATTATAAAGAATAGGAGGCGATAACACAGATTTGTTTGATAATAATGATATCGATGGACAGCATGGCTAGGATAGTGTGTGTGATTGCCTGTCACCACGACCACCGGGTCAGTGACCGTCTTATTGCAAAAGACAGAAACAGGCATCTACACTGTACTGCAGGCCAGCAACCTGCGCTGAAATGAGCGAAGGGTTGTGGGAAGAGTCTTCGATGCACAATACACCGAAGTGAAGCCTTGCTTACCGGCAGCCAGTGCACACAGTCCAAAGCCGTACGCGAGCCGGCCAAAGCACTTGATTGAGTCTTGTGCGCCTGGCATGTAGAAAGTGATGCGCATCGCTCATCGTGAAGTAAATTTGTAACGTAGTTGAACGTGCTTCAACGTCCTGCGATGCGGGCGGTGATGGAGCTATGACAACCGATATTCTGCAGCAATTTCCAGAATGTTGGTTGGGTGGTCGAGCGACCACAGGATAAGCAGACACGGAGGCTCAAGAAATGCCAAGAGAAGGTTATCTGAATAGGTTGTGCTATCAATCATGATCAAGGGCTTATATCGGCGTGCACCTTCATCTGTTGCTGCAGGCTGGAATCGTTGAGAATATCAAGAAAGTCGTGGAGGAGTATCGACGTGCAAGGAACTTGGTGGTAAGCCTAGACCGTCGGTGTACACTGTACAGTATGCATAGTGAGGTAGCAGCTATGTACTGCAGCACTGTTGCTGGTAGCGATGTGCTGTGAGGTACTATTGCTGGCAGTGATGTGCTGTGAGGTACTATTGCTGGTAGCGATGTCCTGTAGGGTACTATTGCTGGTAGCGATGTGCTGTGAGGTACTATTGCTGGTAGTGATGTCCTGTAGGGTACTATTGCTGGTAGCGATGTGGCTAAGGGTACAATAACAAGTTCTTTTTCATGAAAGGTAGAGGTGAGTGCGAGGTAACTTTTGTCAATATAGAGTTTTTTTCTCGTCACCAGGGGTAAGGGAACCTCTACTTGTTAGAAATCTAAGGTGCCATATTTCTCCTAAGGTGCCATGTTTCTCCTATGCTGAGGATGTATTAAAGGTTACCTATGATATACCACATTCACTACGGGCAGGATGAATGAGTAACTGCATTATGCAATAGATCTTACCGGTTGGGTCTGCTAAATACTCACCATGGCAGCTCAAGGCAGTGCCTTGCTCCTAACAGTGGTGTTCTCGCAGGTTGACTTCAATTTTTTGGGTTCTCTGTGACTCCATCACATGTATTATAGCCGATCCGAGCATGCATCTTGGGCCCGCCTGGCGTGGGCAAGAGCAAAGTTGCGGCGCGTCTCTGCAAGGAGTACAAGATTGAGCACGTCAACACGAGCGGTGTCATTGAAGAGAATCTAGAACAGTTGGTAAGCCTATTTCAATGCTAAAACTGGTTGAGGGAATGGAAAAGGTGAAAGTCTGAAGAAGAAAAACTGACTGTCACCACCAGGGCTCGAACCTGGAACCTTCGCTTGAAGCCAGTGATGCTCTAACATAACCAGTTCATGTGTGTGTGTAAAAAAAAAACGGTCCCTTTTGCTGCCCGGGTACATTTTAACAATCCTGAATCCTATGGATTGTCCATCCGCTATCTGCCACATTCAAAGAGTGTTGTCTTATTGCATGGAATACTGTGCCGCAGAGGCAAAGCATGGCCCGTACAACGCAAGAAGACGAGGAGGACGATGCGGAGGAGGAGAAGGCTCAAGAAGATCGTGCGTTGATGGAGGCCGTCGAGGCGGGGAAGGCTGAGAATGGAGGTAAGTCTGAAATATATTGCACACAGTCAATTGTACGGCGTGGGTGATTGCGCTCCTTCATAGAATTCTCAACATATTTCTCGAAGGACCATTGGAATATGAATAGATCTGTAGAAAGACGGTGTCATTTAGTTGATATGCCTATTTCATGCCGCTGTTGTGGCATGCCTTCAGAGGACATGCACTGCACCTTGTAGGCTACACTGCTCTTTGAATAATACCATGCCTGTAGCAGCGTAGCACCGCTCTACATTATTATGCGAAGCTGGCAATTAATGACTGTTGCAATGCCTCATTGTATGGCATTGGCTTCTTTCTCTTTTATATACCAGTAAGATGTGAAGGGCATCCAGTCATGTTCGCATCACGAATGCTGTCATCAGCAGAACAGACAAAAACGTGTCTATGTATCACAGTGTTTGACATGAGGACATGAGGACTCTGCTACTGTATATCGTGATCAGTGTGTGGCATGTTCTAATACCTGGTCTGCTGCCATGCTCCTGGTTGTTGCAGGTCGTCTGACGGATGAACACGTCATTGACTTCTATAAGAGAACTTTGACATCGCCTCCATGCAGAAACCAGGTACAGCATTTGCGAACACCACAGCAATATTTTCTGTGCCCATGTTTAAGCTTTCTAGTTGATACAAGATACTAGTTTTAAAATAGGTGTTTACCCATGTGTAGGTGTTTACCCATGTGTAGGTGTTTACCCATGTGCGCTTCATGTATTAAAAGCGCTGTCTGTACAAGCTGTCACTTAGAACTCATCCCAACTCTCTGTGTGTAGAGTCCGAGAAATGGCCGTCTGGCTTGGACCAGCAGCATAGTGGGTACAGTCGTAGTTTGTGGCTGTTCATCCTCGTCATCTGTAGGATAGTGCGACTCCACAAGAAATTCGTGAAAATGCAAGTCTGGGGTTAATCAGCCGTTTGCTACTTACTGGTGTGTGTCTGCCTGTCCGGAGCTGTTGATCGATTTGATGTTATGGTTACTTATCATTACTATAGAGCTAGTGATGCGGTGGCAGATACATGATCTTCACAGGAACTGTGTAGGTCTACGCCGTGTAAGTCACCGAAAAGTATATTATGTGAAAAGCTTACCCTTGTATAGGCCATGCAATCTTATCGGACTTGTACTGTTTCACTGTGTTCATTTACGCTGTGCTCACTCACCAGGGATTCATCATGGAGGGCTACTGCAAGACCATGGAGCAAGCCAAGACACTCTATGCTCGTAAGTCCAATGTGCTAGCCAAGCATGATGGTCTACTTAGTACGTACTGCCGCCAGGCATATACTACTCTGTAGATGTGGAAGTGATCCGACAATCCAGTATAAGGTACCAGTTGTGTTTATATCGACGGGTAGTATTACAACACCTGCCCCCGGCCCAGGGTAGAGAGGCCTGAATGCACAATGTGGGGTCTGGGACCTGAACCGTCTAGTCTTTTGAGGGCAAGTAGTCTCTAACTGCGGTGGTCATTCATTGATACAAGTGTTCCTATGCATGTACATGACTGTGTTAGTAATCCATTGACCACTTCCCCACACTCGTTTCCCGCACTCGTTCCCCACACTCGTTCCCCACACTCATTCTCCACACTCGCCTGGATATTGCTGTCGAAGCACGATTGGTTGACTGAAAACCTACTAATCCGGTGAAATCCTAACCATCGTGACTAGTGACTGAGCTTCTGCCTTGAATGCATGGATTGTGATGAGCTTGTCGTGGAACCAGAAAGAGCAAGGCAAATGAAGTCCAAGACTGAGCTGCACTCCTGATCAAACACTAATCCGAGTGCATTACAAATTGCTCCAGTGTAATGGTGGTCTGGTGTGCTCGACTAGCATGCTACATTGTGTGTGAACATATCGTTCTGTGCATTGCTGCGTAGCTGATGAAGACGATGACGGAGAGGAAGAGGACGCCGTGGATTACAACAAAGCCATAATGCCAGGTGTGTGTGTGTGTGCGTGCGTGCGTGCCTCTGTGTGTGTGTGTGTGTGTGTGTGTGTGTGTGTGTGTGTGTGTGTGTGTAGGTGTGTGTGTGTGTGTGTGTGTGTGTGTGTGTGTGTGTGTGTGTGTGTGTGTGTGTGTGTGTGTGTGTGTGTGTGTGTGTGTGTGTGTGTGTGTGTGTGTGTGTGTGTGTGTGTGTGTGTGTGTGTGTGTGTGTGTGTGTGTGTGTGGCCATTTGGTGCAGTGGTTTGTGCAGTCAATTTCCAATCGAGAGGTTGCGGATTCAATTCCCGACGATTATGGCCGCACACGTCTTTCTTCTCTTTGTCATTCTCCTAGCTCTTCTTTAATTCTCCTGGGTGGTTACCAACAACCAGTGCATGCCGGTGTATGTGGTGTGGTGTGTGTGTCAAAAAATGAAAAATGAAAAATAGGGATTCACTGGCCAGAAAAAAGCCACTTCACTCAGCTGTGTGTGGTGGAGACCAGGCTAAATTTAGCAGCGATCAATTCAACAGCCTTGCAAGCTTTTGAATGGTGTAATCCCAGCACAAGTTGCTATGTCTAACATAGCTTGTTCGCTATCATCGCTTCAGCGATGGGCAGGAGTATGAGTATGAGTGTGTGAATGTTGAGAGGCTCAAGAGCGATACTACCGTATTTCCCCGAATATAAGTCGCACCCCCATTTTCTGGTTTTAGCCATATTGATTAGATTTATTGACTTTAGTAGTAAGTAATGCTCGATTGTAAGTCACACCCCCTTTTTTACCTTTGGAATTTAGTGTACAAAGGTGCGATTTATATTCAGGGAAATACGGTACCTGTTGGGCCATACCTAGGATAGAACATTGACATGGATGGTCATTTCAGTTACTCGTTCAGTGAAGGTCAATGCACCTGCTCTGTATTTCTGTGTACGAGCCAAGCCGTTAGAATCCTAGGTTAAGATTTCTGGCTAGGCCATGTGGTGAATGTAACTTACATGTACTGTGATTGTTGGCAGCAGAATACCGCTGTTGTCTCGTTGTGCCCTGATACTAGTTCCTAGATTGGTTGACAGCATGCTACAATGTGGAGGACGCACTGTGTTGAAAACAGTGCTCCTGGCTCAACACAGTGCGTCCTCCGCCTTGTAACATGCCGTCAACTGATCAACATGTTTGTTTTACTTTCGCCATTTGCGGAAAATTATTCTCTATTCATTACTTGCTCGATTGGAGCTCTCTTAATCTATCAAACAAGATTTTAACCATACTAGCTGATAGATCATGTAGCTTCATTGCCTATGTGCCCAATGTACTGCAACAGAGGTGGTCATCGTCTTGGAAGCCACAGACAACTTCCTGAAGACACGCATCATGAACCTGCCAGAGAGTGTGGTTGCAGCATCATCTCACTACTCCGAGGAGAGTAAGTATGCGATCGGGCATGTTGCTTGCTGTGTCTTAACCCTATCCATGGTCGTATGGAGTGTACGCGAGCCCGGATATAGTAGGTTGAAAGTGTGAGCAGGAGCCTCTTACAACTCCCTGCACAGTGACTTAATTTTTAACCTATTCCGTATTTGCCAGAGGCTTTAATGGTAGCACCGGTGTGCAATCTCTTTAGCACAGGGAAGATGAACCGAGTTGCAGTGGACTGGTTGACCACCTTGTCATGCCTATTCCAAACTGTTTCTTCTCTCTTTTTTGTTACTATTCACCCCCAGGGTTCATCCAGAAGCTTGATGAATATCGCCGTCTCAATACTGACGATGTGACGGTTGCCAACTATTTCGATGAGCTAGAAATCCACCCGAATACCATCGGTAAGTTACGGCGGTCATCATGCATGATGACTGAACCGCGTACGAACATATGCATTACACAATCTCACGTATGTGGATAGGCGGAAGTAGCCCTGCTATCAACGTATCTTGAGATGGTATGTTGTCGTGATGTGTGGATAGTCAGTACTGATTAGCCCGAAGCAAGCCCTCACTAACGGATATTTGCTTTGCTTCTTGAAATTATCACCCTTCTCAGCTGTGCTTGTTTTCCAAGAGTTGATTTGTCCATAAGGTTACTCTGCTGTGATTCTGCTGTAGACGCTGAATGTGCAACAACGCTTGAGGAGATCGACATGCTTGCCGACATGATCAAGAAGAAAATTGGCGAGCCTCGCAATTATGGTGAGACATTGAGCATCAAAGTGGCACAAGTGTTCTATATGTCATTCACTTTGCTGAAGGTCCCTGCCACTACCATAAAGTACCGCGAGAGCGCCCCACCCCCTTGACCCTTCTGTGGTTGTGTTTGGGGGGGGGGGGGGGGGGAGATGAGCGAGTCCTGCCGTAGGTCATACAACGTGTACATCGTACACACACTGTACGTCATGCAGTAAATCCGTATTCACTTCACCTTTCGACTGGCACTGAGGTCCACACAAACATTGATCAGGGGCATGGTCATGTGTGACCCTTGTACTCGTATACTCCGGTTCCTACATCATATGACCTCAGCCACACTCGGAGAGAGTTGCAGTTGCTCGGGACAGTGCTCAATGCACCAAGGTGCAGAGCCTAGTACACACACCTCAGCCATGCAATTATATGATTTTCCGTTCCCTGGTTCAGTGTAAATCAAGATGGAGCACTCTGGTAGGATGCCTCGCTCTATCTGTACTTTACTATGCTAGGAGTGGGGTATGTAACTGATAGGAAGCCGTCCGTAAAAGTCGACAAATGAGAAGTCCGAATAGTGGCCAATTTTAGGCTGACATGGTCGGCTCCATGTACATGTAGATATGGATCCATTCCGTCTTGCTGGTGTGGGCGGTAAGGTCCAATTCAGAGAGGACGGTTGCAATGATGGGTAGGCCGCTGGTCAGGGATGACTTTGAAGTTGAGATGAAATCAACGCCACCGGTGTATGGGAGTGGAACCCACTGATAAAACTGGATCCGCCGCAGTATGCGACGGGTACTTCAAGTAGTGAACAGGTTGAAGGGTTTGAATGTCTAACTTCTGAAATGCAAAGGTCTGCAGTGCCATACATGCACCTTTTACGACTCCCTGCACTACTGCATGCACTTCGTCAGGCACTGAAAAGTTACGTTATTTTTGATGAGCTTTAAGGCCATCATTTTTTATAGCTATGTTTCGCGTCGTCCGCACGCATACGTTTTGATTTTTTCGGAAAAAAATAAAAAATCGAACATGCACAGTGAGTGTACGATCGTGCGAGTCATCAGTGTGGACAGGTTGCATACGGCGAAGCTGGGATTCAGAAATGGCCTCTAGCCTAGGCCAGCGTTGGTAAATCGTTTGTTCGGCATCTGGGAGCAATATTCTATGAGCTTACACCAGACCGCATTGATCACCTAAGCTGAGAGGATGCGTCGTTCCGGAGCTCTTTGCACCGCTGCTGAAGTCTGAGTACAATATTCCAGCGAAGCATAGGCACCATGACCAACGGTTGCCTCCTCTGTGAATATTTACTCATGCTGATAACCCAGATGTTGTGCTTCGATGTACGATTTTTCTTTCGAATGTACACCATGCACGAGCTATTGTGCTATGTACAGTGCATACACCTCTGATGAGCCTTTTTTATTATTTTGCAACTTTTTATTTTTTTCCACCTCTCGCATATGAATCTGGAAGTTGAACTGACGCGAAACATAGATATAAAAAATGATGGCCTAATGAGTCTCAGATCAAACAGCCAGTCAGCCATGCAAAAATCCAATCACTTGATGACGTCATGATCGCATGATCTGTTGTTTCGGAAAAAGTAGAAAAACCGCCAACATTCTTACCACCTACCCCCTTTAAGCCACTATCCGGGGTTTTCGGATTTTACGGACCTTTAAGTTAAAGCAATTCCACCTCCACCACATCCGCTGTCTCTGGCCGACATCACACCAGCAACATGACTCCAAGTTGTAGATACTGACAAAAAATGTCCTCCATACAGCACTGTTTCGACCCCTAAAAGGTCTCATCACTGAAGGTTGGGAATACTGTATAGAAGGAAATTTTCGGACGGAATTTATTTTCGTACGATTTCGTACACGGCCTCTTTTGTACTAAAATTTGTTCGTGAGAATTTATGTACACTATACATGCGTACTGCTTGCGAACACGTGCATTTAGCATGCAGCACTGTACGAAAATAAAATCCGTCCGAAAGGTCGAAATTTGACTTTGTCCGAAAATATTTCCGTCCGAAAATTTCCTGCTATACAGTAATGAGTGGCTAGAATTAATTTGAAAGTGTGGAGTAATGTTGCTGGTGTAATGAGGTCGCCTGCTACTTACTAGTACCTATTTCTCTTTTCCCCGAGGACTATGCTTCCTAGCTGATCCGAGCCAAGCTTCCTGCAGTAGCTCACCCATACGATGTGTGTGTGTGTGTGTGTGTGTGTGTGTGTGTGTGTGTGTGTGTGTGTGTGTGTGTGATGGTGTGTGTGTGTGTGTATGTGTGCGTGCGTGTGTATGTATGTATGCGTCTGCATTTCGTGCGTGATTGCTTTCCTTTGCTGCACCAGGGCGGTCAGCCATAGACAGGCAGGCTATTGCTCGTGCCAAGCAGATACAAGAGGTAAGCCAGTGAAGAAGGACCTGATCGGTCTCACTGTCTACTAAACCTGACAGTGCAGTCACATTCGACCTTGTACTTGACCTTGTATTGTATCGTCAAGAGTACATAACCCCCCCCCCCCCCCCCCCCAGAGTGTGCAACGCCTGATCCAGCTCTGCATAGGGTCTTGGTCGAGCGTAATCGGATCTTCTGATGTCATGCGTACACTCCACGCCAGTGCAAGGCCGGTCTCGAGGCAGGGCACCGTTGTTTTTGATCCAACAGTGCCCGCGACTCCCTGGGTTCCCCTCAGATGTGTACGGTATTATGACACAAAGATCCGATTACGCTCGACAAAGACCCTATGCAGAGCTGGATCCGGCGTTGCACACTGGGGGGGGGGGGGGTAATGTACTCTTGGTATCGTGCTTGTTGAGATTGCATTCGAACAGGAACGACGATGACAACGACAGGAATGACAACAACAACAACAACCACGACGACGATGACAGCGGCGGCAGCAGCAGCACCAAGAACAACAATGATACCACCACCAACAACCACGACGACAACGACGACAACAACAACAACGAAGAGGTCAGAACACGAGAATGATAACATAAAGGCATGACCACTGACAGTGTGGTACATTCCACATTTGACTAATACTGCATGTAACCGCTTATGCCTGTTTAGGAGGAGCGCCTGGCAACTGAACAGCAAGAGAGGAAACTGCAAGCCGAAGCGGATGCAAAGGAGCTGAAGGCTGCACAGGCAAAGTGGGTGAGTTACACCGCAATCACATGCCCGTAGAGAGCCGTGATGCAGCACCAAGTGTGCACATCAGTACCTGGTATGTGCTTTCAGGTATACAGTGTTCACTCACTAGCCCAGTGGGAATACAATTATGACAAAGTCCTCCTAATGTCTTTAACACAAACTGGCCCAGTTACACTGAGCACTTGATCTGGGACTTCTTTTTCTGAAAGGAAATGTTCTGTTCCTTTCCCTGCCAGGCGTCCCGCTATGCCGAAGTGAAGTTGCAGGAGGAGGAGCTGCTTGCAGAGCGTGCTGCTCCCATGCGAGACTTCTTGATGAAGCACATCATGCCAACACTGACGGCCGGCATGTCGGAGTGTATGAAAGTCCGGCCGGAGGATCCTATCGACTTCCTGGTAGGGCATGCGATGCAGTAATGCATGCAATCAACTTAGGCATTCTATGTCGTTGCAAGAATGCTGACTGGCTCAGCATTCTACTCTGTTTGACTATAATTGAAGGGCTCGAGAATGGCACTGTGCCTCTACAGTCTACACATCAAAGTGAGGCCTAAGCCTGCTAAGAATGTTGGTTTTACTTCAGAAGTAGACGCATTGCGCACTAAAAGAATGGTACACAATCATGAAGAATATTGTGCTAGCGTACTACTGTATAACACGACTGTCTCCACAACTTGGCAAGGTTTGTGTGTGTGTGTGTGTGTGTGTGCGTGTGTTGTGGTAACAGGCCGAGTATCTCTTCAAGAACAACCCCGAGCCGGAGCGGCACTGAACACCACAGAAAACAGATTCAATTGCCGTATTGAATGAACACGGACAGGAGCTCTCCTGTCCCTTCATGCAGCTGCTATGACGAAGCGGTGCTTCAAACAAGTCATTTCATATGGCAACTGTTATTTTCTCTTCAATGAAATTTCACCGGACACGCGTCTACAAAGCACATAGCTGGCTGTTTACCCGGCCCCTGTTCTTGTCCCATGTGCATATCCTAGTATTCTGTTTGTCCTTGACCAACAAAGGCAAGCAGTTGAGCTACACACATCATACTTTGGAAGTAGCGTAAATGCCATTAATTTCATGGTGGAATACCATTCATTTGCTTCTATTTGCCATACCATGAAAGAGTACTTCAGGAATCAAAATAACTATAATGGATTGGAAAAAAATGGTGTTGAGGTGAGCTGGAGGTAGTTTTCTTTTCTTTCAGTCTTGCCGATTCAAGACATTTTATACCTATTATCATTTTATAAGTATTTGTTCATGGTTTTTGTTGGCCTGCACCATCAGAGTCAGAGAGAGAGAGAGAGTTGTCGTTTACGAGTCCATAACTCATTTTTTTTACAGTAAAACTGATGTTACAGAACGTATCGATATAGAGTGCAACAGCAGATTGCGGCTACGTGACTATCGAAAATGACGCAAACAAGGACCCTGACACCATTATCAAATGTATCATGACTACGCAGAGTGGCATGCTATGCTTGATGTACTCTTGATTGTACACTGTACTGTACATCAGAAGGTACGGATACATAAACCGAAGTGTGAAATACCGCATGGGGTTCTGGACGCTGCAATGTACATGCACGCCGGGTTTTTTTGACAGCATGATACAGTAAAAAAAACAATGTCACAGGTTGTACCAAGACCACACTCCAGTTGTGGATCAAGGCTTCTATGACTAATCAACAATGAGATAGCCGGCTAATTCTACTCTCCCAAACTGCTGCGGAGTTGCATGCTCTGGTACTCGTGGCCATAGCAGCAATAGTAGCGCATGTAGTTATCTGTTATTTCCATCCATAAAATATCTGGAAACGGATACTCGGAACAAATGGCTGCGAGGCCTTGATTATTGAGGTTGGTGGAGGATCTAGCTGGCCCTCACACAAGCCCACACATGGTATCATGTCACTTGCCAAACACTGCTTCTTCGCAGCGTTTTCCAAAATATGTGCGAATGTGTGCGTGTGTGTGTGTGTGTGTGTGTGAGAGAGAGAGAGAGAGAGAGAGAGAGAGAGAGAGAGAGAGAGAGAGAGAGAGAGAGAGAGAGAGTTGCACTTGAACATGTGCAAGTTCCACAGCGGTGAGCACAGTCAACAAACCTCTGAACTACAACAGCATTGAGTAATAGTGCTCTAACATGTTGGGCTAGCTGCACACTTCTATCTTTGTCACCAGGGGGCAGTAATTTGTAGCCCCTGAAAAATCAACACTTTCGACCCGTTTTTAAACTCTGTGTGGCACGATTTGACTGACCAAACGCACACACTGCAGTGCAGCACTTGGTCAAAGTACTTCGAAGTACATCATTCAAGATAATGATGGGAGTCAAAGTTCTGATTTCCCAGGTAACCCAACTTGCAGAACAGGTCAGCATGATTTGCAAAAAGCAAAAGTGGCTAGTTACCCTATGACCGAGAATGCCGTAAGGTGCATGCGCACCATGTCAGCATACTGGCGGAGATATACATGTACATGTACCGTAATGTGTATGTACCGCACCGTACCGTATATGTTCCGTAATGTCGCGTATTAAAGCCGGGCTTATTTCTGTGGAAGCCAATGTCAGGGCTAGGCTATATTCACATCAGGCTTCTATTCAAACTGGGTGTTTCTATGTGTGTCAACACTAAAACCAAGCTTATGCGCCGACAGTGTAACTTGAAAATCAGGCTTCTATACGAGATAGACCTTAATACAAGACTCTACGGTATCCTACTACTACTACTGAGTACATGTACTACCCACCATATCACAATCTAACAAACATCTCTATAGCGAGCAAATGAAGACTACTTCGCGCCACGTGCATGTACTACAACAGCCTCTGGTCCACCAAGAGTGTGTGCACATTAGGACATTTGTGGAAGATGCGAAGTATATTTCTAAAGCTGTGTTCACAACTGGCGCGTGGACGCGGTACGCTTGCGGTTCATGCGTGCCCAAACGCGGGCTCAGGCTTTCACAAAAACAGCAATCCGAGTCGTATTTAGCGCGTGGGACACCTTCGAGTACTAATTTTTTGACCCCGCCAGTCAAAGTGACTGGCATGTACTTCGAAGTACGCTGGTACGCGCGCTGAATATTCCAACATATTGGAATTTCCATTTCGGCGCGTTTACGTACACATGGTGCCCCAAAAGCCAGCAAAAATACGCACAAACGCGCCAGTTGTGAACACAGCTTAACGAATGTTACAGCAAAGCTTCCGAAGGGAAAGCAAATGCCTAGTCGTCAGCAGACGTACAATGATTATGCATCTGCCACTTGATTATCGTAACACAGACATCCTACTGCACACGTACACGTAGCTTCACTATGACTGTATGAGTTACACACTCTTGGCTGGATTAGAGGCGGTACTAGTAACATGACGTCACCGCATTCATTGCCAGTGCACTAGTAGTAGTATAGTGGCAAGCAAAGCAAGTCTTCAAAGACTTTTTTTAAAGTACCAGGCAGTGCAACACCCACAAACACTCCTCTATATCCCTCAAAGCATGATCAGGTCAAAACACCTCAATTCCACTACATCCATGATCGATTAATTTAAATGGGATACGCGAGGTGAATGCAGAAACGACAATTTCATGAGCAATAAAAGCAGCTATGCGCCAATCATTTTCATGATGAAAACGAGCAGTAAAATATTTACAAAGTTTGGAACTACTAACAAGTTTATGCAGTGTACTTCTTTCCTTCATCCGCCTTGGTGTAACCCTTGCCAAATCTGCTGATCATGTGCTGCTCATATTCCTGTGGAGTAGGTGCCGGGCCATGGTAACCGTATGGGTTTGGTGCTCGTGACTCGCCTCTTGCGTCCCGAGCTGCAACGTAGTTCTTGACATACTTCGACCTTGATACTCCATACATGACTCCAAGAGTCAGCGCCGTGTAACGAGCAGCTCTGATCAGCTGTGTAGGAGAGTTATAAATTGGAGTCGCCATCTCCACACGTCAAAGGCAGACACAGGCTTTACTGAATACAGTATCTATGACTCCACAATCAGTGTCCAAGACTTGAGGAGGAAGAAGGACAACCTGGCAACAAGAAATCCCAGTGAGAAAAAAAAGTGAGATCTGGTGCAAAAAAATCACACTGCGCTGAAGCTCTAGCTCTCGCTATCGCGCTCCCGATCTTCAAGTCTTTTCTGGATCTGTGTCTCGTACTAGCGCACTTCATCATGTCAGCGCACACGCTCGCGCAACGCCCAACGCGACCCGTTGAGGACGCGACGAGGCTTGACAGCGCGCAAAGCTCGATAGTACCTGCGCAGCTGCGCATGCGTGAGGTAAAGTCGATAGTTTACTACTTTGTGGCTACGTGATACGGGAGGCGCAGGCACCGTGTGCCCCAAACATCCTGCGCGTGAGATCCTTCGAAGCGTCACGTTTTGAATGGTGCATGAAAGTGATCACACTTGAAGTTGAAAGTTAGTTGTGAACATTATTATTTTGAGAAAAAGGAAACTGTTTCAGTCACCTACTACAGACTTGCTGTCGTATTTTTGGATGACTTGTACTGCTTGCATCCTGGTTCGTAATTTATTATTTAGTGGATTCTCAAGCCCATCTGATCCTAACCGCATTGATAACAAACTGAGGCTACCAACTGGCAGGTATGGCATGGAAAGAGTGATCTAAGTTCGTTCTTTGCAGTCCCCTGGATACTGTAGCTGAAATCGGTGAAAGTTCAGCAGGTGAAAGTTTTTGACGTTGTTAGAATTTCCTGTTCGCTCCAAGCGAAGGGGAGCTAGCTGGGAGAATGGATCAGAGAATCGTACACGCCAGGCGTTCCGTCGCAGAAGCTCTTCGCCTGGACGATGAACAGCATTTGAAGGTAGAACAATTTTAATTCTTGTCCAATGTAATGTTGGAGCATGATACCTGGTAAACAAGTTAATGGAAGAATATTTTTTAGTGAAACATTTCACTGTATACTAGTACCAATAACTGTAGATGGAAGTTCGTCTTATTCGTGAAGATACTGTTGTTCACCAAAGGGAAAGGAGTCGAAGCCATCTATGATCAACTGTAAAGTTACTAAAGTATCACTGTCGAAGAACATGCCATGTGTTCCCAAACAACACGTGTTTGTCAACTACCGTACATGATTGACCCATGTGTAACGCCATTGCTGCATTTGAGACATGGCTCCATGTAGAGTATGAACCAGGGAGTCGTCAGATACGTATTTGACGACTCCCTGGTATGAACTACGGTCATGGACATGGACATCCGGTCGAGCGGCCGAGGGCGGTGGCCATGCAGCCGTGAGTACCCATACCATCAACACGTGCATTCCAACGCAGCGTTCTGTACGCACTGGGGGCACCGGCCCCGTGTCAATCGACCGGATTTCCATGTCCCCAACGGTAGCATGCTAGAGGCGATCTGGCATTGTCGATAGTTTTCACAAAACGAAAAAGTTTAGTTACAAGCCCCACCCCGAATGAAAATAATATTGACTTGACACCGAGAATGGATCGATGTTTCAGCTATCAATATTTTCAAAACGGAACTCTCCTCGACCCACCCAGCCATAAACGAAACTTTTGTTTCGTGTAAAAGATCAATAATTGTGGACGGCTCCTAAAGCATGTTGGTGCTTTACTAGCATGCAAAGCACCAACATTATCACTGCTGCTGATTTGCTCTTTGCTCATTGTACAATGTACATGATTGTGTTCACATCGACTTCAAAGTGTCCGAGAAAAGCACCGCTGCCCCCCCCCCCCCCCCCCCCCATATAAGTCATATCCCCCTCCCTTTCAGACTTCTATAACTATTGTCTTGTTTCAGTATGTTGACGTAAATACTGTAGTAAGTTGTCTTGGTCCTTGAGCTCTAGTGTCAAACTGTAGTGTAATAAATACACCCCCAGGGGCGTGCTCGGCTCCCCTTCCAGGGGGGGGGGGGGGGGGGTGCACCACTTCCAGACAACAGCAATTTTCAAAAGGTTGTACTGTAGTCCATCAGCCAGTGGTGCCAAAGTGAGTCCCCTGTTGCACTTACAAATCGAACACCTGGAACTGACATCAATCGACAGCAAAAGCATCACTGAATCCGACCTGCCTACTTTCCCTGGCGAAACTCTTGCACTCCTTTTGCAGTGCGCCTTGGAAGTTCGACAAATTTCTTATTCTTCAACAGCCATTACGAGGTTTTCCATCCGTTTTATCAGGACATCCAATGCGTCTTCAGTGAAAAACGTGGAGTTTTGTCAACGTTTGGTGTGGTTTTCCGTGGCGATCGACCTAAAATCGCGAAATAAATCGCCGTCGATTTGAGCAGAGGTGAGTTGGCTTGGAGCACGTACAGATTCAAAAAATATGTGTACATGCGCACCGGGAAGAAGATGAAGATGCTCACCATTTTCAAATAACAAATTCAAAAAACTACATGACTATTGTACTGCAATTGTTGTAGTTACTTGTTTGCAACTACAATGGTATCAAGTAGATAATCAAGCGAGGTACAGAGGGATTGATGGCTGATCAAAGCCCAAGGGACCAGCCCGAGGGCTCTGATCAGTCATCAAGCCCGACTGTACCTCGCTTGAATATGCTTCAGACGATCCCCAACAATTTTTTTGATTTTGAATTCAATCGCTTTATCTTTGGGTGATCTCGAGTGTGGTAGATAGTACTTCGAAGTAGTACAACTGTAACTGTACTACTACCTGGTTGCAACATGTTCAAAGCAGCCTTGCCTTTATTTCAACTGTTTGCTGTCAGCATCCAGAGTCATGGCGTTTGCTAGTTTGTCGTAATGGAGAAAAGAACTGCATGGCATTCACTCGATGTAGAACATCCATCGCCGCAGATTCCTTACTTTTAGCTCTCCACGTTCCTTATTTTTCCAGGGATCAGGACCTTCCCGGGGTGATTCCATTCAGGGTGGAAGCGTAGATCACTTTTGAGAGACAGTAAAAACTACGCTTCAAACCTGCTTGACATGACTCGGGGTGCATACTTCGGAAACCCGAAGGTGGATGATGTTCAATACTAGCTCATTGTAATCTTCCTGAAGGTATGTATTCGGATGCTCAATTAAATAGAACAGTGAAAGAGATGTGTAATGGAACAACACTCTACAAGTAGCGAACAACAATTTTATTGTAATTTGAATCCAGGCACACGTGTAATACGGAAACTGCAATGGTTTACACTGCAAATCTTCTCGATTTGCAAGATTTTTCCCGTAATTCACAAAAATCTGAAAGTTCATTCCTGAAACGCGCATGGCACTGATTGGAGATTGGGTTTAGGTCACAACAATGGCTGTCGATGAAATGCCAAAAATGGTCACTTTGTCGGCTTCCCCCTGCAGAGCGTGCAAGTCGTTTACTCTTTTTATTTGCGGATTCGGTGTACAGGGTACCTAAACTCCCCATTGAGGCCAAAATCAACTATTCGATTTCTAAGTGCAACAGGGTGCTTGAATTTGACGACTTCTGAGTTCTTGGCTGATGGACTACTGGTGACATCATCAGATATTTGTACATGTGACGTCATTATTACTGTTACAAAGATTGTATGCACGGATATAGTTAAGAACAATCGTCACACTAGTTGACGTATCTGGACAGGATTCGGCAAGGAGAGCGTCGAAAGAACAGCCCCTACTGCACTACAACTTACTAGTACAATGTACAAGACACAGGTGCAGGATGTGCTCCCGCGAGGTCGGGCTTTCCGCAATACATAACATCGTCATTGGTGACTTTTCAAAAAAAAACCGGCAAAAATATTTTGGGGGTGCACTTGCCCCCTGTGCCCCTCGCCAAGCACGCCCCTGCACCCCTTTCCGGAGCCTTGCGTCGCAACCCATGTCTTCTTGCCATGGTATTGCGCATGAGTATTGATACGCACGTGGACCCTTTTCTTCTTCATTTTCTAACGAGAAAAAAAGGTTTCTTTCAATGTATCCCACAGTTCATCAGCCTTCTTACCTTATTTTTAAAGCTAGATTGTGCCACTGTAGATCACTTTCTCCCTTGGGGTTTGTCGCAAGAAAATCGAAACCTCTGATTTCTGTAGCAAGGGTGCATATACCAGAATGTGTGATGCAGCATATGCGTAGGAAAGCACAAGGCGTCGTTTACGCCGTTTTTGATGCGTTGTCGGAACCACTACTGTGTCGCGCTGAAGTAGCATGACCTGTAGCATTAGTGTTTGCCATCTTGACGTCAAGAATGACAAATTGCGCTGTCCTGAATATCAGAGCAGGAAAGAACAGATAATCTTTCTATGGGTTAGTTTCAACATGCCCGATTCCTGTAGTGTTGGACATGTACATGATTGATTGTAAATGATATAATACTGTGCATGTCTTGGACATGGAAACCCAGTCGGAGGTCAAGCGGCTCCAGTGCGCTGGCCATGCAGCCGTGAGTTCACATGCGATCAACATGATTGTGCACTGTGCATGCAACGTTCTGTACGCACTGAGGGCGCCGGCCCCGGTCATTCACTTGAACCGGATTTCCATGTCCACAACAATACGACGAGGAAAAGTATATTGAAATAGAAACGTTTTCCTGGAAGTAAAGTGAGCACTACCACGTACCGGTACCGTGGGCATGGGTACGTGTATATTTGTGTAGAAGATTACCTCCTTTATCAGTCCTTACTACATCCATGCATCATGACATGTACTGATGTCATTGTACTGGTGTATTTGTCCGGGGAGTCGTAAAATATAATACGGTGTTTTACGACTAGTCCCTGCTAGTAGTGTCATGACACCAGTCATCAGTAGATCTGTGACTGTACTGCGGCCACATGTGGATCAGGGAGTCATCAAAATACAAGTATTTCAACTATTTGACGACTCCCTGATATGTGGATCCTCGATCAAATGCATGTCAAGCAAGGAAGAATGTTCTTTTTTCGAACATTTTTTCGTTCGTTGCAGCAGCATTTTGCACGTGTTCATCATGAAGTACAGTTGAAATGTTATGTGGGGCTGGACGGCGGGAAATTCGTAGCTGCTAGTGCTGCATTGCGATCTTCTACGAGTACTTGTAGTGAGCGTTGAAAGGTTTCTTCACCGAGCTCTGACGAGGACCAAAAGAGCACAGGCCTCGCCAAACCCTTGCGGATAAGTAACCCAGCTCCACACGAGGCGTAGTCCTCCGCGAAGAGTGTTTGTTCTCTGAGAGGACTATGCTTTCTATGCCGACGGATTTTGAAGTGAGCTCAGCTTCAAACCTTGTCATGCGTTGTTCCCCTGAGCCATAGGCTGCGAATGCAGCGATCACGAACCGAACTTCATGGCCAACCAAGTCCTGAGTAAGTTCGTTTAGACTTGTGGCACAATGACTCAATCGATCGTCGTGCAAGTGGGCCAGTGTGGCAACCAAATTGGTTGTCGTTTCTGGGACCTTGCTCTTCGCGAGCACGCCGCGAGCAATCCACGTGGGACCTATGATACAGCGCTGAGCAGCTTCTTTCGCAACGTAAACCCGAACCGTCGAGTCGGCGGGCCAGCTAGCCTGCCAGTGGGCGATGGGACGGGGAAGATTCGGTCTCTCAAGGCGCGAGCAGTGCTGGTCGATATGGAGGAGAGCGTAGTGAATGAGTTGCTGCGCGGCCAACTGGGTGAGGTGTTTGACTGTCGCCAGAATCTGACGTCGATCTCCGGCTCTGGAAACAACTGGGCAGTGGGACATTACATGTACGGTGATATGTACGCCGATCAGCTGGCCGAGTGCATCAGACGAGCGGCGGAGGAATGCGACTGCCTGCAAACGTTCTTCTTGCTTCACTCGATGGGCGGTGGGACTGGGTCGGGCCTGGGTACGTACGTGCTGGACCACCTACGGGATACATATCCCGAAGTGTATCGCTTTGCCCTGCCGGTGTATCCGTCAGTCGACGATGACGTCATCACCTCACCGTACAACAGCTTACTGGCCACAAGTCACCTGACGGCACACGCCGATTGCGTTCTGCCCGTCGAGAACGAGTCTTTGGGTCGTATCACACAGCTTGTGTCGAAGAACTGCGGTGGGGGCAGTCTGGGCAGCGGCAAGTTGCAATCCAAGTCGCGATCGCAGCAGGGTGTACTGTCGTCAGGCGTTAGCTCTAGTCATGGAAGTGCAGCCGAGGTGAAGTCAAAGCCGTTTGACGACATGAATAATATCGTGGCAAACCTCATGCTGAATCTGACCAGTTCGTCGCGGTTCGAGGGTTCCCTGAACGTGGATCTAAACGAGATCACAATGAATCTAGTGCCGTACCCACGCATGCATTACCTAGTGTCGAGTATGGCACCGCTGTACTCCCTGCGCGATGTTGGCATGGGACCCAGGTCGATGGACCAGGTGTTCAGCGACGCCCTGTCACGCGACCACCAGCTGATGCACGCCGATCCGAAGAACAACGTCTACCTGGCGTGTGCCATGCTGCTGCGTGGCAAGGTGCAGATGTCGGACATTCGCCGCAACATCGAGCGCATGCGGCCCAGCCTGTCGTTTGTACACTGGAACGATGCTGGCTGGAAGACGGGCTTGTGCTCGGTACCGCCGGCCGGCCAAGCTTACTCCTTGCTTTGCCTCGCCAATAACACGTGTATTCGGCACACGTTCCGTAACGTCCACCAGCGCTTTCGCAAGCTGTACCAGCGCAGGGCCCATCTGCACCACTACACAACTGTTGCCGGCATGGAAGCTGCAGAGTTTGACACTGCGTCCGAGAGCCTGCTATCATTGATTGATGAGTACGAGCAACTGGACGTGGCGTCACGGCAGCCAGAACACCTCATACCACCTCTTCAGATTTCCAAGTAAATGTACTTTGACTGGATGTATTCTGATATCTTGATTAGTCACTGCTCATCTTGGCAGCCTTCTATTTCTTTTTCTGATTGCAATGGATGCAGGGGCATTCACAAGTGCAGTGTAAATGTATTGTCAGATTTTACTACTGAAGTACGTTTGAATAACAAGAGACTGATGTTGATTTAAAGCTGTTGAGTTTCCCTATGCCAAACCTGATTTTATTACTTCAAAGTATTTGGAAGCGTCCTTCAAAATTTTCAAAGTATTTAAATTATTTTATTTTGTAGGATAGCATTATTCACGTTTAGTCTCTTCAGACCAGTTGAACAAGGTTCTTGTTGGACCACACAGCGACCATTTATATTTCTTTTGTGTCAAACTTGAGCTGTTTTAGTTGATGAATATTTTCACTTTGGAGTTACAGCTGTATGTCAACACAAATTTTGTTCGTTTCGTGAGCTACAAACTTTTGCGTTGGTTCTAAGTGATATACAGTACAAGGACAGTTATGTGTGGTGATATAACATTATAAGTAACAGTAGGAGGCACACTTGACTGACTCACAGCTGCCATCCAGAGCACACGAGAAGTCCATACAACCTTCGATTCGGCGAGTCTACACTCCCTGGTCAATACACAGTGTTTCAGGAAATTCACCCCTCATTAGTTGAACTTGAATAGGCTGAGGAAGATTATGGCTGAAGAGCACTAGAACTCCAGTGTGTGTGTGTGGGGGGGGGGGGGGGGGGGGGCAACCGACTTTCTTATCAAATTATCACCGAAGTCACTACCACTGTTTTGTACTAATGGGCACAGCGAGAATATCCACACACAATAATCATATAGAACGTGTTGATTTTCAAGCCTACACACACATCTATCAACACTTAGTTTCTACACCCAGTCCAGTAGAGTACTCACATATCCATTGCTACTCGGAGTTTCACGACCTTAGTCAATCACCAGCCAACACAACTCACACTTTCTATATAAATTATCATATCTGTGTGATTATTCTCGCTGTGCCTCTTGCTGCTACGTATACCACCTTTGCAATGTATATCAGTTATTGTATTGGTTGCTGGTATATCTCTTTTCTACCTGCGTATCCACCTGAAGAGAAAGCAATGGATGTGCTCATGGAAACTTTAAGAAATGTTTCTTGTGAAAAGCCTGAATTTTGTTCTGTTCTTCAGTTTGATTATAAAAGCTCAATATGCTCCAAAGCAGTGTTGTGTACTATTGCTGACCTGGCACTGCTGAATGTGGAAAGTGAGCTGAGAGTGTGGCAGTTCCTTCAGGGGAGGGTTTCTCAGTGACACTGTGAGCATACCGGTATTTTGCAAAAAGATTTGTTCCCTTTGATGTAATGACAAATACGCCTTCACTTTCGGTAGCTTCTGCAGGACCTGAGTGCCATTGACTTTGAGGTTGATTTTCTTAGTATGTGTGTCTGTGATGTCGTGTACTTTTCATGATGCATGGCAGCAATATGTTTGCGTGTCAATATGTTTGCGTGTCTGTGATGTTGTGTACTTTTCAGGGTGCGTACCAGCAATATCTCTCAAGCCTTATCTACATGTATCAAATACTATCCGCGGACTGCCAGCAGATAAGTAAGAGATACTAAGAATAAGTTGCGATGTGTTGATCTGTTTGGAAGCTGAACGGAACCCGTGCTAGATTGTACAACAGCAGAACCTCCCTTAGCGGATACCTGTCACTCAGTGGACGCCTCGGTCCTCCATATTCAGGACACATTTGTTCAGTCCCTGCTGTTCCCAATCAAGTGATAATGTCTTCTGTAGTCAGGATACTTCCCTATACAGGACAGATACCTGTATGTCTGGTCACTACATGATAGGTTGTCTGTTGAACAGACATTCCACTGTACACATATGTGTACTGAAAGCACATGCATGGAACTTTGTATGAACTCCGAAGATGCTGACTCTTTACAGTAGGTCGTATGACGAGCAGAGCAAAGCCTCTGTCAGTTGTCAATGTCCAAGCAAGCAGCTTCTACCTTAATGTTTGTATGTATGGGCGAGTGTGAGAACGGAGTATGTTCTTCATCTTGGTTGTAAATGGTATAGTTTTTGGCGTGTTGCCACTACGCGTATGGTATCGACGTGGTTGTGTGCATCGTCTATACAATATGTTGCTCATAATCTGGTCTTTTCTTGTTGTCGTTGCTCAGACACTCTAAGCGAGTTACGAACGAAGGACACCGAGCGTATTCTACGCATGGCCCGCCAATGCACTGATCGTGTCAACGAACTTGTCAGTGAAGGATCCACGTCAAGTGCTACGGACACGGGCTCTACTTCAGCTAGTGCAACCAGCAGCTGCACTACCACAGCTAGTACCGGTTTGACAGGTCCACAGCAGCATCCGACCTTGTCGGTTTCCTCCCCCGGACCTGTACACACCACTGCTGCAGTGCCTCAACAGCAGCAATATGTCCCCGCCACGGCTAGCATTCCACCACAACATCCGCAGTTTTCGCCTCTACCGACGTACCAGCAGTCCCAGGCCGGTTCTGCCAGTATCAGTGGTGGCGGCGGTGGCGGCACACAGGAGTCACAGCAGCAGCGTGTCGCACAGCTGACTGAGCACCTGCGCTCCACAGATGCCAGTGGAGCCAGGTCAATGCCCGTACCCACCAGCAGCACAGCTCAGTCACTCAACACCGGGCCGTCGCTGCTACGACATGTACGTTCTAATTCAGATTGTACAGCGGATACATGTAATATTATACCAATAAGATTTGGTTCTAATCTATCTGCTGCACCAGTTGCATACAAATTACTAAAATGTAGCATTATAGTATACTGGCTTCCCACAATTCCACACAGAGCTCATGTCCTTGTTGTTGTCTGTACTCACCCGAGAATGTCAGCAGAGAAACTTATCATGTTAGAATACTTCACCAACTACTGTACCTCATGATGGACTGAATTTGTTTTGTTGTTGTTTTGTTTGCAGGCATCAGCCAGTGCGTCACTTGCAACTACGTCAACTGGTGCTCCTGAGCGAGGTTCTCTGGTGGCTAGCCAACTGTCCCCAGTGGATCTAATGCGACAGCGCAACCAACAGCTCATGACCTCGTATCAGAAGAGGATGCAGAAGATGCACGCGTCAGGAATGAGTGCCGCTTCCATCACACGAATGGTTAGAAACAACTTGCCCAACTACACACACTTGTGTGTCTTTTCTTAGCGCTGATAACTGAGCACTCCACAGGTTATCTTACCCGTTATGTAGCAAAGTGGCATGTTTATTGGTGTTGGGGTCCCAACGCATCCCAACCCTCAACAGAATACTATCAGTTATAGCAAGAGTATAATACCCCCCCCCCCCCTCCCCCCAAGAGTGTGCAACTCCTCATACCTTTTCTATGGGGTACGCCGACGGCGAAAACTCACGTCACGTGGTGTAGTGTCACAGTTGTACGTTTCCAGCCCGTTTTAGCGAGCAGCGGAGCACTCTCTGACAGAAACTCACTGCGGGTATGCAAACCCCCAGCATGATCATGCCCGAATTTTGGATTGCGCGCACGCTATCCTTCGTTTGCACGTAGTACGAACGTACCTGAGACACGTGATGTGAGTTGTCGCCGTCGGAGACCCCATATGCAGAGTTGCACACGCTTGGGGTGTTATATACTCTTGGTTATAGTCACAAGAAGAAAAGAGGACCAAAGAGCTACACGTTACACTAGAATGTCCACTAACACCATCAGTTCCTTTACAATCAGCTCATGCGATAATATTGCACGGCACTGACCAACGGTATGGACGTTCTACACCTAACTAAGTGCCGTACTGTGTTATCGCATGAGCTGATTGTAAAGTAACTGCAGTGGTGTTAGTGGATATTATAGCGTAACTATTAGCTCTTTGGTCCTCTTTTCTTCTTATAAATTAATCCTTGGCTCTCCACCCGAGTCTAGTTATAGTTACATTTATACAGAACGGAACAACAAGGACAATCAAGGCTTGTTTGCTGCTACTTCAAGTTTCCTGCTCTCGCAATCATCAGGCACCCACAATGCTGCCTGATGATTGCGAGAGCATGAAACTTGAAGTTGCAGCAAACAAGCCTTGATTGTCCTTGTTGTTCTGTTCTGTATTACGCTCTGCCTCCGTGGTATTGAGCACTGTCAGCACACTGGGTACATCCTCCGGGGTAGTTACATTTATATTATATCACTGAAGCGGAAAGCCATCTTTGTCTCCAATCCTAAACAACAACGCGAGGAACAACCAAAGAGCAACTAACTGAAAAGAAGAACCACATGCTTCAACACCAATACACAAACCCGGCCCGTGTCGCGTATGCCAGTGACACGCGCATGAAAAGCAAGTACAGAATTAAGGAAAGTAGGTCGCATGAAAAGTGGTGTAGCATTCCCATGTGTATGCTAACACGCACTACGAATCCCGTACTACAAGGGACAACTGCGCAATACGCATGCATTCGAATAAAGCTGTAGACACGCACTGCATAAATCTACAAGTACTCGTACAAACTGTGCAGCGCTGGTAAGGTACCAATAAATAGAATAATGTCAAAACAAATAATAGATGTGCAGGTCAGCGACATCCTCCCCACCAAAACTAGTGCAGGTTTTACAAGTCCAACCGTTGCCCGTCGCTATACGCTGGGCGAGTGTAGCAGGTAGCGGATCATCCCACCTGCCTTGTTCCTTCCAGGCCTCTTGCAGCAGCATCTTGCCTGTCAATACTGCTGGTGACACCAAGCCGAACGGATCAAATGTCGCTGTCATGCACTTCAACAGGGTGCGCCTTGTCCATGTCTTAAGAGTGGGAGTTGACACTGCATCGCTGTGTGAGAGGGAGAGTGTGTCGGCTGTCGGCAGTGGACAGCTTGAACACAGTGCTGATGCACCCTCAGGCTCCCAGGCCATGGGTTTCTTGTCAGACACAGAACGTACACCATGGGCTTCCTGACATGCTGTACCCAGCTCCGTAATGTCTTCGAACGTTTTCTCACCGATCTTATTTTCAAGCAAGTACACACGGAGGTCAAGCGAGCATCCCTGGAGTACAAATTGGCGGACGATTGCCATGAACATCTCACTGTTTCCACTGCTATGCTTCTGGTCCTGTGGCACTCCAGATAGCAATGCCCACTCTTGCACCAGTTGCTCTACATGCGTGACGTACCGGAAAGCGTGTCGTTCTTCTGCTACCGCAGAGACAGCAACTTGGACCACGTCTTCTCGGCAGTCTTGCCAAAATTACATGTCAATTGTACTTTAGCGCTTTCGTTTGTTGTCACGTGATGCAGCACAGGTTCAAGCTTTGTTCCCACCGCAGCCGAACGGAGGGCAAACAACCACGTAGAATTTTGGTAGCCATTTTGCTGAACAACAGCCTCAAATGTAATCAAATAACGCCGGACGTGCTGTTTGTCCGTGGACTTCGGCACGTCCAACGTGCGGGGGCACTACTGCTACTACCACTAGCGGCATGGAGTTTTTCTAACTCCTTTTTACTTTCCAGCTCCTTCTCGGCGATTCTCTCAGCACACTCTTGTGCTCTCTGGTCTCGTTCGGTTGCTTCATTGAGCTTGCGCTCCACGAACGAGACCAGTTCCTTGCCAGAATGCCCGTAATCTTCGCCAAGCTGTAGATAACTCGCCTCCAGCTTCACCCATTCAAAAGCTTCAGCGCTTCCACCCGCACCAGGTGATTTCTCTTGGGCGTCGGACTCGGCCATGCTACGCCAGCACGCTACGGTGGACACGATTCAAATTCTACTGGGTTGTCGCCAAATATTGGTGTTGGGGTCCCAACGCATCCCAGCAATCAACGGAATGCTATCAGTTATAGTCACATTTATATTATTCTTCTGTACTGAAACGGAAAGCCATCTTTGTCTCCAATCCAAAACAACAACGCGAGGAACAACCAAAGAACAACTTAACTGAAAAGGAGAACCACATGCTTCAAAACCAATATACAAAACCCGGCCCATATCGTGTATCCCAGCGACACATGCATGAAAAGTACAGAATCAAGGAAAGTAGGTCGCATGGAAAGTGTGTAGCATTCTCACGTGTATGCTAGCACACACTACAAATCACGTACTACAAGGGACAACTGCGCAATACGCATTTCGTTCGAATAAAGCTATAGACACGCACTGCATAAATCTACAAGTACTTGTACAAACTGTGCAGCGCTGAAAAGGTACAAATAAATAATAAATATCAAAACAAATAATCGATGTGCAGATTAGCGACACTGTTTGTGTTTGTGTCGATCATTCCTGTGCATTGTTTATTGTTGTTCAGCATGGTTTTCAAATTGAATCTTAGCTGTAAAGCAGGTCACGAGGAGGAAAGAGGACTAAAACTTAGTGCTCTTAGTGATGAACCGTGGCGTTACATTGAAAACTGTGTTTAAAACTGGCTTGTTCGTGTGTGTTTGCTTGCCCTAACTTTGCTTCTTGTTGCAGAATATGACCATGATGCGACAACTCCAGGAGAACATGGCCATTGCGAAGAGCAGGGAAGCTGCTGTATCTTTCTTTTTTCTTCTACTGTCAGAGAACATGACATTGCGCTCCACAGGCCATTGTTAATTGAGCTCTTCTTTTAAGCTGAGGGCACTTGTGCCCATGTCCTGTGGTAACATGCTCATTCATACTTGACTACTTGTACGTGTGCTTTCATTCAGACTGGGTGCGTTCGATTACTGACATGGGTCGATTCATGAAAAATGGATTCTCGTCGTTCGATTTCATGTCGTGAGCCCTGGAATCGGTTCGGAATCCATTCACCCTCATGATTCACATGGGTTGATGTGAATAGCCGGGGGGGGGGGGGGGGGGGGGGGGCAATTCATGAATGGTTTTAACATCGATTCGCGGGCATAATCGAACACACTCACTGTGCGTCCTTGGTCTTCATTCTATCCTACCTTAATCCGGGGTCTTGATCAGTGTGTGTTAAACCAAGCATCTATACTGTATCCTAGTGATGCAGTCATTTGTCAGGTTTGCATAGTGCTATGCATGTTGCAACACGGTTTTCCTCAGCTAGCTGTGTGTCCAGCTCAATCAGAAGATTCAAGAGCGGCAGCGGCGTATCGCGGAGGAACATCGGTAGGTCACGGTGTGTCTTGCTCATACAGAGCCACTGAGTTATTGGTTGACAATTCTCAAGCAAAGAGCTTTGATACTAGTAGTAGTCACCAGGGTTCTAGCCAGGAAAATTGTAACGGAGGGGTGGGGGGATGTCCGCTGTAAAATGCTAACGTATGATTCCTGGTTTCACTGAATCCTGACTTACTGAAGTACCTTTTGTCTGTGCAGGCAACGCCTTGAGGAAGCTAGAGATCCACTGGACCATAAGCAACTGGTGCTTGATGTTGGCAGCTTTGAAAAGAACCTGGTGAGTTTCTTGTGCCCGTGTTCTTTACTGCAATGTATCAATGTAACTTGCTCTGGCATGACTTGCTGTGCCATGACTTGCTGTGCCGTGACTTGTGTTAATCGTGGGCTGCATGCCAGGGTGCTTGGGGAAGTGAAGAGTTTTAAGATCATGCAGTTTGTATCTTGGTTCACAACGATATAGTATGTTGTTGGCAGTGTGTGTGTGTGTGTGTGTGTGTGTGTGTGTGTGTGTGTGTGTGTGTGTGTGTGTGTGTGTGTCTGTATGTATGCGTGTGGATGTGTTTGTGTGTGGGTGCGTGCGTGCGTGCGTGCGTGCGTGCGTGCACGTGTGTTAGCAGGATAATGGTATGATGGTATGATGGGGGTAGGGGTGTTATTTACTTTGTCTTTTGATTTTCACTGCTGCTGTTGGTACCGTAACTAATTGTTCTATATGTGTTAACTTGTTTGCCTATGCAGACATGGGCGAATGAGAAGCGCAAGAAGATAGCTGAGAATCCGGAAGACAGTGAGTGCATCAGCGCTTTCATCAACCACGTGTTCAGGTAGGGCAGCTACAGCAGCAGCAGCATGGTCAGCCATCTTTATGTATGTGTGTGTGTGTGTGTGTGTGTGTGTGTGTGTGTGTGTGTGTGTGTGTGTGTGTGTGTGTGTGTGTGTGCGTGCACGTGTGCAGGTGTGTGTGTGTGTGCGCGTGCGCGCGCATGTGTGCGCACACGTGTGCGGGTATGTGTGTGTGTGTGTGTGTGTGTGTGTGTGTGTGTGTGTGTGTGTGTGTGTGTGTGTGTGCGCACATGCGTGCGTCCCTGGCTTTGATTTAAATGTTTCACATTTTCGGGGTGCAAGAAGCATAGATAGCCCAAGTTGGAATGGGGCTCCATGCATTCTTTTCTTACTGTAAATGAGTATTTTTGAAGGGCACAGGGCTGTAGCCAGGGTCACTTGTGAACGAGGTAGAAAGTGACGCTCCCAGTGAACTTCCACTGTTTTGGGGCAAGGGTGGACGACAAGAATGGATGGCTATTTGATGGACTGTGTGGCACTCTCAGTTCACATCTTCCTTAGTAGATTGAATGGTCTGTGATTGTTTCCATTACTTGGCCACGACTAAGTTGTTGAGATGCACAGCGATCTTGCTTGTTCAAAGCATGTTAATGGTCAGTTTTGATCCAGCTGTGGTGTAGAATAATGTTATAAGTGTAGTCACCACACCATATTTTGCGTGTTTCTGCAGTACCACAGATCACCCGCTGAGCAAGAAGCTGGGACTGTTGCAGTACCAGCTCTACCACACCCTTCTTCCACTTGCCAAGCAAGCATCCACACCCACAGCAAACATGCCTGCAGCGGCCAGTGGTCTAATGACCACCATTACCATGCCGACACATAGAGGTGAGGGAAGTTCGGAATGCATAACATTTTTGTTTGTTTTGGACCGCTGTGTATCTAAATGAGGGAATTAAGCAAATTTGTGTGTAACTCGAAATTGTTCTTTTAATATGGCTTTGGTAGCTACGAATTCATAAGGCCAGTCCTTTGAGTGTTGGTCTTTTTGTACAGGCGAGAAGGAAGGGTAACCTTTGCTGCAACATTGAGTGTTGTCCTTTCTGTGTTCGTTCAGATCATCGTTCTAGCAGTACCACTCAATCAACAGACATGCGCAGCACTGCGGACTCTCTGTCTGTCAACACTGGGCCCCAGCGAGGCTGGATATTGTCCGACCCATCGCTAGAAGATGACGAGGGAGCACTTGCTACAGTCCTGGACATGCTTGGTATCACGGAACCCACTGAGAATGCTAACGGTGCAACAGGATCATCTTCCACACAGGGCGAAACTGATGAGTTGTGTGTGTCCGATGAACATGGATCTAGAACTTCCTCGCCAATGCCAGCCCCTGGCCATATCAGCCCCAAGGATATTCTGGAGTTTGGCAAGTCCTTGTGCTCTTCTCAGGAGCTGGAGTTGGCAGACGTGTGCACTGCAGCACTGACTGACATTGTGAAAGACATACACGGTGCAATTCGTAAGTCCTGTCTTGTGTGCCAATCATCGCATGCATCCAGCTGTATCTCAGTCGGCTTTTTTATGTGCTTTTCTTGATATACTTCCACAACTGAGCGTTGTTTGAGCCTGAGTGTGTGTGTGTGTGTGTGTGTGTGTGTGTGTGTGTGTGTGTGTGTGTGTGTGTGTGTGTGTGTGTGTGTGTGTGTGTGTATGAGTGTATGAGTGTATGAGTATGTATGTTTGTTTCTTCCCTTATTGATGCTCATCTTCTGCGTGTGGTATTCTTGTCTTTGAGCTGACTAATTGCGCTCTTGCTTGGTTGCTTTTGAATCACTTGTTTTGATTGGTTGGTGATGATGAGGGGTTAGGATAGCCTGGGTTTTCACTCTGGTCTAGTTGTATGCATTTACTTCACTGAGCTGCAGTTTTGCTTTGATCATTTTCCAATGTACAGATATTCTCGAGGTTGCCATGTTGGTGGTCTATGAGGAGCTGAGAACGCCAGCGGGCCGAGACCAGTGCCATGTGGCGATCGAAAAGAACCTCTTCCCTCCGCTCTGGCCACACTTGCTGGACGTACTAAGGTAGAGCAGGGTACATGTAAAAGCCTAGTGGGACTTTGTTTTAACCGTTTTGTTTGTTGCCGCTCATGGCTGCTGCCTAAGCCTGTACTATTGTAGCTGTTGTTTGTGTATTTGCTGGTGGCTTGTGTGCGCCAATTTCAGCAAGCTTTACAGAGCTGTGCATATGCTACTTGTCAATGGATGTGGCAGACTGGCTGGGAAGCTTCACCATGAGTTTTCCTACACTTCAGTCCTTCTTTAATCCGGCACGGTGTGGGGGACAGAAATTCTGAAAGAACGGGAATATTTGCTCGCTGAGAATAGTCTTGCTTATCGAGTGTGCCGGCTTATGATGTGCTGGACTAATAAAGGACGACTGAATTGGTTGATCTGCAGTGTGCCAATCCTTAATTGAAGCATATGTGTGATGAATCTGGTGTGATGGTATTGTTAGGTACCTCCTCCCGTACCTTTTCTAGCTGGCCTGCATGCACTTACGTACTCACCTTTTGTCTCCTTTTGTTCCGTTGGCCTGGGTAGCTACTTGCGCGCCCATATTTGCCATAGCTACCCAGGCCCTTTATCTTGCCGTTCAGACTTGATCTCTCTCTCTCTCTTTTCTCACTCTTCAATGTAGTCGTTTCGTTCGTCTTGGTCTCTTGTCTCGTCGTCTATAATAAATGTCGTTACCCCAACCTACCTGTTCCCGTTGTAATGTCTGGATAATGTGTCGTCAGTCGTCCTGTTTCGAACTCAACAGTATCAATGTGTGGCACAGATAATTTCTAAGTGTTGTTGTGGTTCTTGTTGATATTGACCATATCTGTTCTCCAGGTTGTCCAATGTTTGCAAGGAGAAAGCATTCGTCACAGGTCTCAACCTTAGTCGTATGAAGTCTATGATTGAAATGGGCATACCTGAGAACTTTCGCCTGGGATCTGATGAACTGGTGAGTTGGTGTGGCTTGGTGTGGCTTGGTGTGGCTTGGTGTGGCTTGGTGTGGCTTGGTGTGGCTTGGTGTGGCTTGGTGTGGCTTGGTGTGGCTTGGTGTGGCTTGGTGTGGCTTGGTGTGGCTTGGTGTGGCTTGGTGTGGCTTGGTGTTAGTGTGCTTACTTTAAAAGTAAACCTGACTCACGTCAAGTCTTAGTGATAGCTGGCAAGTCTTAGTGATAGCTGGCAAGTCTTAGTGATAGCTGGCAAGTCTTAGTGATAGCTGGCAAGTCTTAGTGATAGCTGGCAAGTCTTAGTGATAGCTGGCATAGTCTTAGTGATAGCTGGCAAGTCTTAGTGATAGCTGGCATAGTCTTAGTGATAGCTGGCATAGTCTTAGTGATAGCTGGCATAGTCTTAGTGATAGCTGGCATAGACATCGGGCCTGCCAGTAGGACCTACGGTAGGACCATCAAACACAGACATGCTGCACGGCCTCTGTTCTAACATTGACCTAGAACTTGACCCTAAACTGTTGCTAATGGGCTAATGAAAAAGTATACAAGTTTTAGACGTGATCGTACAAGGCATACTGCGAAATACCATGGAAACAGCCCATTGTAAACATGGAAACCGAGTAAGGAATTTTGCGCTTCACTGCCATGGCAGGCTAAGAAAGACATTAGGTCCTCACTAGGCCTCCGCGGAATATGCTCGTATTTTTACCGATAATTCCTTTGAGCATTGCTCAAAATTACGTCCGATGATTCCCGTAATTCCACCAATAATGCTTTTTTCTTCCTTCTTTTGCAGATACCGTACCGCTTACAGGTTTTTTTGCCACTTGTACGGGCAAAAAAATCACGGTTCGCGTGAAACTCGGCTGGAAGCTTTTTTTTCTTTCTCTTTTGAAATACCAGGCGATCAACTCATTCAGGATCACAAGCTTTTTGGTACAAATCAGGGTGTTAAAATGGAAAAAATGGAAAAAAGGGGGGCATTGCTCAAATTTTACAGATTATTCCACAAAAATTGCCAATAATTCCCGTTTTAAAAATCACACCGATAATTCCCGAAATTATGCCGGCATATTCCGCGGAGGCCTAGTCCTCACCATGATCGATGTGCCATGGTCAAAATTGACTTTGGACAGAGTTGCTAGCGTGTGCGACCATTTTGACAATTGATAAAATTTCACGTATGCGGAAGCACTGGACATAATCTTGCATCTTGCGCCATTACTATGCCTTACAAAGACCTCGTCTCAACAACTTTTTCGAGAAAATTCCCTACCGAAAGCACTTTCACGAAGTGATTTCTTGGTTCCTACCAGTAGGACGGCATGCAAGCTATCGTTAGAGGACTGGTATCTCCTGATCAGGTGAATAATGCAAGCTATCATTGGAGGACTGGTATCTCCTGATTAGGTGAATAATGCAAGCTATCATTGGAGGACTGGTATCTCTCCTGATTAGGTGAATAGTGAACTCATGTGTGATGAGTGGGTTATATCTACCTCTTTCTGTCTGTCTTCCTTGCCAGGGTAACCAGCCAGATGGTCAGCCATACGTTGAAGCAATTACTGAGTTACGTCGCATCCCCACTCTCTCTATACCGTTGGAGAAGCTGGAGTGTGTTGGTGAGCTCTCGACCATTTCCCATGTTCAGTTTGGTCAGCAGTGGCACTATAGAAAGTTCGTTTTTCTCACACAACTTTGCACAATGCATGTCCACATGTCAGGCTGCTGTTCTTCCCTTGTTGATTCTTCTGTGGTTGGCGTGCTTCAACCCACCACAGATTTAGCACAGCTCGCAAGGCCACATGAGCGGCATTGGCCTACAAGAATTTGTGTCTTAACAAAAAGATGAGAAGACTGAGCACAAGAAGGGTGAAGTGCAGTGCCATGGGAGACTTGGTTGTGTACCTACGGTATAATTACATACTAGAATACCTTATCAGACCTTCGTGTAAGAAAAATCCAGGAGAGTGAACAATCACTCTCGCTATCCTCTCAAGGAGAGTGGTAGGAGAGCAGTCCCCACCACCCCCCCCCCCCCAAAAAAAAGTCGCTCGCATTATCTATCCAAGGCGAGCACAATACGGGGTTTTTTCAACATCTTGCCATACCCCAATCGGATTCAATACCCAATAGCTGCCAAATTCGTTCTGGAAAATCGCCGTACGCACTACAAATGAAAGCTGTTCGGACCACAACTTTAGTTTCCCTTCATCAGGGACAATGACACACGCAATGGGAAATTGAGACAATTCGCTATATTACTAAGATCCATGGTATTTTTGTAGTATTCATCGTAGAGCGCTCCTTTCTTCTGTAGCTGACGGCTAAAGACCTGTGCCTGGCGTCACACGTACACAGGTCTATGCATGCCCGGACTGTCACGCAACAGAGGGAAATCCTTTATGTCAAAATTATATGTGCGGAAGTGAAAATTTGCAACGGTACGTAAAATACCTTGCGAGTGCCGTAACTCCACTATTGGACCTCGGATCGACTTCCGATTTGTTGGAGCCGACAGCTGAGAACTTTCTAATGCGAATAGACCTTTCGATTACTCGATTCCGTTCAGGGAAAGCCGAGTTACGAAATATTTGAGTGTTTTCAGAACTTCATAGTGATGCGGATGCGCTCGAAATTCTCAAGGCGCGCGACAAAAAGTGTGCCCTAAATTAAAAAGAAAATAAGGAGAGCGAAGGCGCGCAAGAGAGATCGCTCTCCTTTTACCAGATGGTCTGCCTTATTGAAACAATCACTGGTCTCTTTTATGACTCAACTGGATGCGAAATCTTCGGACTAGATTGGCTCAGACCACGTGAAAAGGGTGCTTAGGGTCGAGATTTGAGGGTTTGAGTTATCACGCCCTTGTGGTAGCCAGCCCCTCTAGCTTTCCTATAAGAAGCCCGGATAGAAATCCTTCAATAAACTATGCTGTGGTGGTGGTTTTTATGCGCGGTCTTTAACCACAAATGATGGCAAGTTCAAACTTCGAATGCTTGTTTCTCCGTTTCAGTAAAGTGCAGCTAAGCACCCTTTTCACCTGCGCTGTACCTTCTGATCTTCGCCATTATTGTGATTGTTCTGTTTAGATAGAGTAGTGGAACTGCATGCATCATCCAGGCTAATTCTTGACTATTTCAATAGGACACTACTGTGTTGCTGATACACTGGATAGTGACAAGCACACTATTTACTATCTCTCTCTCTCTCTCTCTCTCTCTCTCTCTCTCTTTCTCTCTCTCTCTCTCTCTCTTTCTCTCTCTCTCTCTCTCTCTCTCTCTCTTTCTCTCTCTCTCTCTCTCTCTCTTTCTCTCTCTCTCTCTTTCTCTCTCTCTCTCTCTCTCTCTCTCTTTCTCTCTCTCTCTCTCTCTCTCTCTCTCTCTCTCTCTCTCTTTCTCTCTCTCTCTCTCTCTTTCTCTCTCTCTCTCTCTCTCTCTCTCTCTCTCTTTCTCTCTCTCTCTCTCTCTCTTTCTCTCTCTCTCTCTCTCTCTCTCTCTCTTTCTCTCTCTCTCTCTCTCTCTCTCTCTTTCTCTCTCTCTCTCTCTCTCTCTCTCTCTCTCTCTCTCTCTCTTTTGATTTTTCCATGCAGTGGCGGTTACTCGTTGCATCTGCAAGGCTGCAGAGGACTATTTTGTCAGCATTGGCAAGAGTCGCATGGAAGCGTCAATGTAAGCTGGGGATCTCTTGTAGGCTGTGTTACACCGGTACGATTAGTATTGGCAATGGCACAGCATCACAGCATTACTGTGATATTGCCTGCAATGTAGTGGTGCTTCTCATTGGCTCAGATATTACAGTGGTGTAGGAATATAGCAAGACGCTTTGCTCTTTCACAAATCACATGAGAAACTGCACTAATTTGGCCGGGCAAATTAGCGCAGTTTCTCATGTGATTTGTGAAAGAGCAAGAGAGGGGGGGGGGGGGCAGATAATGCAAGAGCCTATCACATCCTTTTCTCTTGCATTCTACCTGCCCCCTCCCCATTCACTAGGCATGGGCACACTCATTTACATACTCCTGGTCTTCCTGTACTTCTGTGGTCGTCAAGCCGCTGACAGGGTGGTAGCTTGGTGAATGGCAAAACATAGCCTTGGCGGATGTTTTTTTAGGTTGACATCTTGGCGCACTAATTTCCATATTTCCGTTTGCGAGTTGATTTGTACGCTGGAGTCCTTTTTTTACCGTATGTGCTGCGAGGCAGTTGTCCTCACTGCTATCTTGGTTTGTACTGACGCTTTCGGTGCATTTCTCTGTTGACCCTTCATAAAATATAAAACACAAGTTTTTCTCATCTTTTTCTATTTCTTGTTTTTCATTAGCTTTAGCATGTTCATTCACATTCTTCATCATTTGTGAGAACTAGACCTGGTCTAGTGAGAAGGCATTCTACTGCCTGTAATTCTGGTGAAGTAAAATAAAGTAACAACAACAACAACCCTTAGTTGAACCAATTTATTAGGATGATAATAGTGTGATGACCGTTTGGTCTGCGATACAAAATAAAATTTCAACAACAACAACAACATGATCAACCCTTTTGATTGTGTGGTACCGACAACTTCAGTAAATGTTGATTCTATTGTGTATTATTTTGTCGTGAATGTGCCTGCACTGCAGTGGATGTGATGACCTCCTGCCGATTCTCGGCTATTGCATCGTTCAAGCGTCCATCCCGCAACTGACCAGCGAGTGTGCGGCCATGCTGGAGTTCATTCACGAAGGGTAGGTGTATGGTTGCTCTGCTCGAAACTTCTTTACTATTAAAGACATAAAAGACGTGTGTGCGTGCGTTTACGTTAGACTTAGTGCTGAAACGATTATATCGATTACTCGTTACTTACTCGATAAGAAATAGATCGAACGGTTATTTCGATTTTATCGGCTAAACGAGTAGAATGGTACTTACGCTTGGTACGGGATTTCCCCCCTTTTGGGGGTCGCACAAAGCATGCATGCACCGAAAGTGTTGCGAGTACGATACGAATATGTACATGACTGTACACTTGCAACATCGATGTACATGTCCGTGTAAAAGTACAAGCACGATCTGAGAAACATCGACACGATCACCGTCGCCGTCTTTTCAGCTGACTACTTTTCTTACAGGCAGCATGAAGGACTGGCAGGCTCAGTAGAGTTCCCTCCAGATGCAAGTAGTCTTGAGCTAAAGACAGTAAAGTGGTCTTCAGTTTCGTGTTTTCCGTTCTGTTGACGGTTCCCAAACCAATTTGCTCGACGACGAGCTAGGCCTGGCGTCGGGGCCTATTTTGAGCATAGACAGGAAAAGCAACTACCGTATTTCCGCAAATAAAAGGCCGTCCTCGTATACACTCCTTCCTCGTATACAAGGCCGGGGCAGGGGGTGATTGAAAAAATAAAAAAGACCGTCTCCGATTAGAAGACCGGGCTTACTAAATGAGTCTTTGTTCTTGTGTTAAAAATAGAAGACCGTGCTCAAACTGTGTAGAAGAAAATGGAAGAACGGGGGTAAAACTGTGTGGCGAAAAATAGAAGACCGGGGTCAAACTGGGTTGAAAGAATAAAAGACCGTCCTCGATTATAAGCCCGGGTTAGGACGAGGTTGAAAAAATAGTAGACCGGCCTACTATTTGTGGAAATACGGTAGTTACTTGTTGATGCGCCTCAAGTCAGCTCATCTGTTGAGATCTGCCGATCTGCACTTCTGGCCGGCTTCTCTGACTTCATCGTCGGAGTCAGCGAAGTCACAGGCGAAGGGCACCATCAGCTCTTGCCTCTTGGGTTGCAACCAGTGCGTCGCCTCTGTCTTGTCTGTGTTCGTCTGGTCAGTCCGAACAGCTGACGGACTTGTTGCGGGATCATCGGATCTATGCACCCGCTTTCCATTGTTGGCAATGTCGGACTCGTATTTTTTTTGAATTCACAGAATGTACATTGTACTGATGTAGATACAATAATAATCGTTTAGCCGATAAGCCGATCGTTATGGTATCAGCTTAGCCACTAAGGAAAAAAGGTAATCGTTGCAGCACTAGTTAGACTGTGAGTAAATAGTTGCGCTTCGGCGATTTGCCATGTGCAATTTTCAAAAAAAACCCGACCAGAATGTGCAAAGTGTTGCTCAAATCCAAGGTTTTCCTTGGGAGAGCACGAAGAATACTTTAGAGATAGTAGATTGATGGCCCGTCTCCAAGTGGAAACAACAGTATCTCATTCATAAAAATTAGTCTGCAGATGACTTGCTGATCAGAGAAGTTAGCATGACATGGCTTTACGGTACCTGCTGGCGCTTGTTCAGGCATGCATAGTGTGCACATTAGATGCAACACGAACAGGTGCCAACGGCCATCTAGCACAGTGCAGGCGGCTGAGGACGCTGGGCCCTTAGCCACAGCGAGCCAAGCAATCTCAACTCGCTGTGCAGACAAAGAAGCTATTGTGATGGACTGTGTTGTGGCCGGTGCATGGGTCTAATGTACATGGACAATGTCCTTTATTTCTTTTCTTGTTTTACACAGTTTCTAAGCCTCGTGTACGAGCACGAGTACCGCAATAGAGAATGCTACTAACTAAGGGACTGTCCGAACCTGTCGATATTTTACACGAACGAAAAAGTTTCGTTTATACCTTCATGGGCGGGTGGGTGGGTCGAGGAGAGTTTCGTTTTGAAAAAAATATTGATAGCTGAAACACCAATCAATTTTAGCTGTCAAGCCAATAAATGTTTTGTTCAGGGTGGTGGGTGGGTGAGGGTCATAGCTAAAAAATGTCATTCCATGAAAATTATCGATAATGCCGGCTAGCCCCTAAGGGGTCGTCCATAAATATCGAACTTTTTTCACAAAACGAAATGATTTCGTTATGGGGTGGGAGGGGGTTGACCAATTTCGTTTCAGAAAACATTGATTCATGTACATGGCCATTGTATATGCGCGTCATGTCAACATTTTTTACGTTCTGAGGGGGAGGGAGGGAGGGGTTGGGTCTAAACTAAAATAATTCGTTTGGTGAAAAAAGTTCGATATTTACGGACGGCCCCTAACACCAAAGTTGATGAAAATAAACAACCCAACCAACCAAAAGCATGAGCAGCAAGCAGCCACCACCAAGCAATTCCAATCAGAGCTCAGAAAATTCTTACCAACCCCTACCGAGCCAAGCTTTAAACCATGTGCCACAAGGTACAACGTAGAACGTATCCATCCTGCACACCCTGCCTATGTCCTCTGGGGGCCCCGGAGGAGGGTCAGACCGTCTCGTTGTATTGCCTGCAACAGCTACACTGGACTGTGCATGCTCACTTTATTGAACCATAGAGTCTATGTGAGCGGCGTTTGCCTTTCTTCTTCTTGCTAGATACTTGATGGGAGAGGAAGGCTATTGCCTGACAACTCTTGAAACTGCACTCTCCCATGTCTCCTCCCTTGCCATTCCACGACCGACCTAGAGGACCTAGAACAGCAGTCTATTGGAGGCTGGTCTTCCTGCTGGCAGGAGGTAACTGTTCTACATGTAACGTTAGTCCTAACATGTACAATGTAGTGACCTACCGTGCAGGTCTCTGCCATCACCACACCCACGCGCATGCACACCCACGCGCATGCACACACACACACACACACACACACACCACACACACAAACACACACACACACACACACACACACACACACACAATTTCATTGAAATTTGAGTTGTAGCTACTGTTGACACATTGATATAGGTAACGTGTGAAAGTTAGACTAGTTCACATGCCTATCTGCATGCCTTTGACCTCATTTTCATATTTTAAACTATTGTTTTCCCCCGAAGATTGCTAACCTTTCCACCTGTGCTGTTGTGTTATAAGTCAGTTCTTCTCTAGGTACTATAGGATGTGTGTAGCAGTACATCAGACAAACCCGCTTGAGACTATTTTACCTCATTTTCTAGCTAATAGCAGCTATATGTATTGTAGACAAGTATAATGACGAGGTTCTGATGCTAACGTTGAGCGCAGGGATTGCCTGGGAACCCAGCATTGTCCTGGTGAGATATTTGTTGCAGCAACTTCTTCTTCATCATCACTGCTATGCAACCTTGCCACCATTTTATCAGCTATGTCCCAGCATCACATTGTGGACAGTACAATATGCTGTTGACCCTTTTAGATCGCTTTGCTGTCACGGTCCCCAGCATTGCTTTTATTAAATTAATGACATGTTTTTTTAGTTTCCTATCACCCAATGATAGACAGCCTATCACTGTATCAGTTCGGACTGCTAGCTGTAGCTGAGTCTCATGGATCATGACTGTTTGAAATTCAGTGCTGCACTTGCTTGATCCGGCCACAGCATAAAGAGATGTCCTATTTCTGTTGAGGCTTGATTGCCGGGTGGCCATCGTGAGTTCCCTTCGGGAACGGACATGATCATTTTCTTTTTTTCTCTTTTTTTTTATTGCAACCAGGGAGAGTACCGTTCACCGTTGATAGGCATCCGTTTGCTTTTGGAGAATACTTGAATTAATAGATGCTAACTTGAAGCTATTTTTACTACTACCAGATTGCAACCAGGTGGGTCACTGGTGCCGTTATGTCACGCATGTGGCCTACGAACTTTGCATCAGGTGTTGTTATAATACCTATTCTACAACTCCCTGGTTAGTACATGTCATGTGCAAGCAAGACTCCAAGAGTGCATGAAGCAAGTGCGGGTACATGTTACTCTTGCCGTCTTGCTGCAAGTACTTGAAGTATTTATTTATTCATTTTTTCATTGGTTTGAGCGTTTAGGCGTTGCATCTGCGCCTTTGATCCTAGAGGGTGGTGGCGTTCCCACGGCGGATGCGGAAAACTCGGCTTCCAGCCGAGTCTCACGCGAACCGTGAATTTTTTTTGAGCTGAGGGAAAGGTGCAAATATGACTCGATGATGACTCTCAGTGAGATGAAAAAATGACTGGTCGCCATGCTAGCACTTGTTGCCCTTACACAGTTACAGACCATGCAAACTGTTACTACACAGTAAGGCCTTTAGTCCATCACATCACTCATCACTCATCAGTCATCACTCATGCCGAGTCATGGTCTAGGTATTATTTTATTAGGCCAAACTAAAGAAGGTGTGTGGTTCGACTCACCCGACCGACCGTACAATTTCAGCCCGACCGTAACTTTTTTTCGGCGGGCTGTCGTGTGACTGACGTACGTGGACTGAACACGTCCACGTCTACGTGCTGTGCGGCGTGAGTCTGCGGACGCAGGCGGCTCCTTTTGGACTTGACTTGTAGTTGTACTGCAGTGCAGTGCAGTGAGTGGTACGACTGCTGCCTTGTGCTGGTAGTAGAGTCTACTCGATACGCGTATACAGTGTATTATCCATATAAAACCGCTCTGTGAGCGGTTCTGAAAAACCTTTACTGGTACTGCCCCGTCGTAAAAGTAAGAAATTAGAACTGGTCCATTGTCCTCCCAAATGCGAACTGATCCACCTAAATCGCGAATGACGGGACCCGAACGCACCAGTAGCACGAGGTCGGGAGGGCACAGGACAGCAATTATCATAGGGTAACACCACCTACCGCTAGTACAGTACATGGCCTTTGGTCCGGACCAACGTCCCCATCTGCATCCACAGGTAGGAACCTCGTGCTACTGGTGCGTTCGGGTCCCGTCATTCGCGATTTAGGTGGATCAGTTCGCATTTGGGAGGACAATGGACCAGTTCTAATTTCTTACTTTTACGACGGGGCAGTACCAGTAAAGGTTTTTCAGAACCGCTCACAGAGCGGTTTTATATGGATAATTTCAGTTCTTTTTCCGTTCCCTCCCCACCCCAACCCCGAAGATAAACATGATGACCATGCGCGATGTACTGTATGTAGCCATGAGACTGCAATAAAACACTGATACATACCAGCCCTCCCCGCCTCGCTACCCCGCACACAGATACACAAACATGCGTATGCACACGGCACACACACGTGGCCACGCACACATACGCACATGCACACGGCACACACACGTGGCCACGCACACATACGCACATGCGCACGACACAAACAGGAAATTCTTCATATATAATGCCATGCAAAGCAGTGGCCACCGTACTTGAGGAAGTCAGTTGTGAAACAAAAATAATTCAACTACAGCGTGTAGACAAGCTGACGGCCAAAGCACGACATAGCAAACATGACATTTGCCCAAGGATTGCAGTTTGCAGACCACGCCATGGAAGCGGCGAATACAGAATGTAATATCATACAAAGTGACAAGAAAGGAAGTGGCCATCATACACCAGAAACTTGCAGAAAGTCACACATCCAACAGATAGAGAAGTGAACAGCAATCTGATACAGCCCAGACAGGACAAAGCTGACCTGATACTCGTCCCAGGATCGCAAGTGGCAAATCCTTTTCAATGCATAACATGCACGTGTACGTTAGACGCATGGACAACATCTGACCGTGTCGCTAGCATACAATGTCATCACATGTTTACCCCACAAGTTACACACATGCACAGTAGAAGCACAATGAAAGCAATGGAAAAGTACGATGTGGTTGCTGAAGCATCTTCACACTTCAAATTCAGACTTCAATGTGGTCGTCACGGGATGATATACCTGCAAGATACAAGTGATGAAGAAAGAAAGCAGAAGGTCGTGAGGTAGGCTATGAGTAGTCCTTTCACAAAGATGCCATAGTTTTTCGCAACTTATGCTTTTCGCAACCGTGCCAAAACAAGTGCTAGTTGCTGAAATCGCATCCATATTTTCAGAAAAAGCTCAAAAGTTGCCAACATCGCAACTCAAAATTGGAGAGTTCTTGTGCAAAACCTACAAAACAGGGAGCAGAAATAGCAGAAATGCAGCGATGCTGCGACAGCAAACTCGTACACCCCTTCCTGCTGTGAACCACCATTTTACACAGTGCCAGTAGCCTGTTGCATGTATCCTACATGTACATGTACATCATTACAGTGCACGGAAAAGGGAATGCACATAATTATCGTAACTACCGTTGATCTACTGTTTCTCAGAAATGAGCCTGAAGGCAGGCGAGAAATGAGCGAGCACGAGTATGTATTTGTCCAACAATGCAACATGTAGTCGGTGACTTGACCTTTCGACCCCATGCCATGGGGCCAATTGCGCCAAGGTTGCGGAGAAATTGCGAAATAGTTCCGAAAAAAGAAGAAAGTTGTGAAAGTTGCGATTTCTTCCTAAACACCGAAAAGTTCCGAAAAAAGTGGCGAGCATCTTTGGGAAAGGGCTAGCTATGAGACACCACAAACGGGTCACCTACATGTATGTTCAGGGCTAGTGCACTCACACGCAGAATTGTCATAATCGAGCATTTCCCAAACTGAGAAGTGCAATGAAATCCACTTGCATGCACAGGAGCAATTTTGCAATATTATGATGCGCAATTCGACACGATCTGCGATGCTGCGTGCGATGTGCCCTGCCGTCATGATGGTGACAGTCACCGCGGTATGTTTTGTCAACGTCGCCCTTGCACTCTTCTGTCAAGTCCAAAGTGCTCACATACTTGGCAATGTCTTTGCAGTGATTAACTTTTATCCTAGTTATGTCACGGGTAACTTTAATGAAGTACCCGCAGGCCGTGTCGATCCGCACATCGTCCACTCTCTCATATACTTGGCCTGCTTTGTCTGTGTATCCATTTCATGTGCGATCCACAAAATCGACTAGACGGTGGGTGCAATACGCTCTCTATCTGAAGACGTTCTTCTTGCGACATCTCGCCATGTACTTGGCCTGCTTTGCCTGTGTATCCATTTTCATGTGCGATCAACAAAATCTCAATGCACTACAGAGACTAGACAGTGGGTGCAATACGCTCTCTATCTGAAGACGTGAACCATTAAATTTGTTGGAAAAGTTATACGTACACCTGAAACGTAATGAAGTACAGGAATAGAGAGAGTGACTACAATACGCTCTCGACCTGATATAGTGATAACGTGTTAGAAGGTAACAGGTCTACAGTCCCACCGTACCCTTCCGACACGACTGTAGACCATTAAATTTTTTTGAGAAGTTATACGTACACCTTAAACGTAATGAAGTACAGGAATAGAGAGAGTGACTACAATACGCTCTCGACCTGATAACGTGAGTACAAGACACTCTCCACCTGATAACGTGTTAGTAGAAGGTAACTGGCAACATATCAATGGGTTGCCTTACCGTGGTCTAGAGGAAACGTCTTCGCAGCAATATTTTCCCTCCAGCGCATTCAGTCGCCGACGCGACATCGTTTACTGGGCCGTTCCAGTTGCGGAAGACATTCGATTCATCGGGCCAATTCAGCAACAGGGCCGTGGACACACAGGGGGCAGAGGAGAGACATTGTTAGTGGACAAGAAAATAATATGCAGTGGCAAGTGGCGAGTGCCGCACGGATGTCAAGTTGTCATGCACAATTCAGCTACTCACTTGACTTACGGTCCAGCTAGTCCTGCCATTGCTCGCTCGTCCTGGTTCCTCCTCGTTCGTCTTCCTGCACGTCTGCTCTTCTCCTTCCCCACCGTTGGCTTTGCGGTACGGGGGTGCCGGAAGGAATTCCCACCATGTATCCATGTACATGAAGTCCCACCATGACTCCATGTACATGTCCACGGCCACGTCAGCAGCTTGTATAGTACCGGAAGGAGTTCCCACGATGTCTCCAAAGGCCTACAATTGTTGTAGAGCGGACGTCTTTGCAGCAATTCTTTTCACCCTGCACATTCACTCCGCCGACACGACATCGTCGACAGCGTTTACGGGGCCGTCCCAGGTGCAAAAGGTCCACGTCAGTAGTTCTCAACTATTTCGCGTACGGGATAGTCGCCGCGACAGCGTTTAAGGGGTCGTTCCAGGTGCAAAAGGCATCCATCAATGGCACTTTGCAGTACGGGGTACGGAAAGGGGCCTCCTCGTTCGACTTCGTCGACTTCTGCATGCAGTTCTCCTTCCCGTCGACCGAAAGGGGTCTCCTCGCAGTTGTCCTTGCCGTCAGGTCCACGTCATGCAGTTCTCAACTATTTCGCGTACGGGATAGTCGTCTTTGTCGTACGTGGCATCGGCGTTTACCGAGTGGCATTGCCATTGGCACAAAGCAGACCGTTGACGGGGTCACGTGTCAAAAAAGTATCAACGACGTGTCAACTACGTGTCGACCACGTGTACAGCGGTACACTCAGCGGTACACTAATTCTCGTGCCATTCTCGTGTCACAAAACTGGAACATCGAGTACCAGTATGGAAAGGCTTCAGACAGGAAGCCTTTCCAATTTACATGTACTAAAAAATATATTTAAAAAAACAAAAATCCGCCCGCCCGTAAAAAAAATGTCCATGTTAGTCGAACCACACACCTTCTTTAGTTTGGCCTTATTATTATTTATTCTTCTTTTACTAGGGAATTCCCAACAGGCGTCAGCGCCTTTTTACAGGGGAACCCTAGCCTAGGTATAATTTGAGGGATGAGCGAAATTCAGCTGGTATGGTATATGTCAGCACCAGGAGGCTATCATCCTTGCGATGAGTAT